ACGTGTCTATCTCTGTAGTTTCAAATTGGCTCGATGAAAAATGGTATAATGACCTGAATTGATATTTCAGCCATCCGCGCATCAGTTAAATCAATTTTGAAGTAAATTACATAATATAGTTGACAGCAAATTACTTTCATGCCACTGATCGTGAATTCATTTTACCCTTATGCCGCTTAGAGTCTAGCCTTGAATAGCTAAATTTTATACTACTATAGATTCTATTTTTCTATTTAGATTCCATCCTCTCACTATATCTACCCTCCCACTATAGATTCTACTATAGATTCTACTATAGATTCTACTATAGAATCTAAATAACAAAAGAATAAAATAGATGTTATTTTCGTAGTAAAAGAGTAATGTTGTTAGAACCAAAAGTTTGTGTATCTGTACAATCACTATACTAGTAGATATATACTTTCCAACAAATGTAATTCATTTTTAGTCGCATAAGAGTAATTTACCGTATAATATAACTAAACCTACCTTTGATAATCTATATCTCAATTAAATATTTGTAAACTCAAAATTGTAAATAAATTTACTCAGTGTATTTAAATCTCAAAAATTCAATATTATTGATTTGGTGTACAGACATTATTGATCCATTACTACCAATTGAAGAATGCCAGTTCATTTTTCAAAGAAACAAGATTTCTTCACAGTATATGTGGATGTGTATGGGATTCAATGTATGAAATGTACCGGTTATTGTACTTCGCTGTCGGGCTTGACAGCTTATGGTTGTCGCTGCCTTTCATTGTATATATTTGCAGTTATGCTATTGGATGACAGCAACTGCAAACTAATACCTACAGCAGAATAGATGGGAGTAATGGTATGTAATTCACCAAGAGCGAGACTTTCCCCTCCTGTTGCGCTTTGGAATAGCAAACGTATTGACCATTGAGTCTTATACACTTCAAAAGCATCAGCTTCATAGCCTTTGCCTGTAGGACTCGGTATCGTTACTGAGGATATTGGCAGGCATACTGAGCTCTTTGCACAACATTCATGGGGCGCGGAAGTGTTGGTCTGGTCTGAAAATTGAGCAAAAGACTAGACTGGATTAGCTTGATACTGGAATGGAATGGTATATCCAAGATATAATGACTAGTTTGGGGTGGACTGTTTTTAGGGTGCGTTAACTTGAAAGGCAATTTAATAGTTCAAATCTGTAAAAAACTTCCTGCTAGTGTTATGTTCTTGTGATGAACAGGTTCTACCAAAAAGTGTTCTAAGCACATCTAGGATATTGGCCACGAAGGAAGAATAGGCGAAATCTGCACAACGTCGAGGACTCGCCAAGGTCTTTCTGGGTTATGGTATTATAATTATGCACTAATGACAAAGACAATGAAAAGAAAGTATAAAATTGGACGATAGTATCGGATGAAAGTTGAGTGGATGCATCTATCATTGCAAGTTGTCTTCGTTGTCAATTATCTACATCTAAATTTTCGTCAAAGTCAAAGTAGAATGTGCATCTCGAGATTAGATCTCTGAGAAGTTTCACAATACAGAAGCTGAATTGTGATAGTGGTTGAATCATGTATACCTCTGGTAACTCTATGAATGTTACTTGTGTATATGATAATGGGCATGAGCAGACTTATATACTAAAAGATTTAAGAAAAGCATAAGGGTTCGGTCTGAGGGAAAATGCTAGGCCCGTGGATATCGATCTATTCACTAGTGTTTCGACATTTACTTCTGCAATTAGATTATCATCGGGTGTCAAATTACATAGCCTTCAAGCGTTGATGAAGATTCACTTGTGAGGCAAGTTTGCTTAATTCACGGTGGGGGGTATATCGTACTTCTACTTTCAGGACCGATCTCTTGACTATAAAGCTGCAAGCCTTGTTCGTTTCTTCTTTGTATGAACTTGGACTCACTATCTAGAACTATGGCGGGACGACGCACCCAAGCACCAAACAACGCCATGGCTGTCAAAGCCGCTGCGACTCGCGCCCGAAACAGAAATCAAAGGAATCTTTGAAAGTCTGCAAGTATATGGGGCACTTTTAGGTCTCTAACTCGATCCCTAGACCCCCATGTAAGTTTCACTGTCATATATACGAAGCAGGGAGAAATATCATAGAGGACACGAGATAAGACGATAACAATCGGAAGACATGGTATGTAATTACTTGTATGTATCCCCTCTAGTTTAGTGTCATATATCAATTCTGATTGATCACCTATATAGCAATCGTTTGAAAGTCCCTTAAACACCACGCCCCATACATTGCATGTGGCGCGGCAGTGACTGCGACTCGATTCTCTCTCAAGGTTTCCTGTTAAAGCCAGGACTTATTAAATACTTTCTGATGTAAAAAACGTGTAAAGAATCTTGTCATATCTGCGCTTGGCGAACAAGTAAGAGAACTTTTTGATTTGTAGTGATACGGAGAAAAGCAAAAGCGGGAAGTTGAATCGGTGACTTCTCACCCACTCAAGTAGACGAATTGTGCAATATACATCTCTATTCTCCGTCCCACGAAAACGGTAAAAATTGTCCCCTTCGATCTATTATCAGGGGTTTTCTTTCTCATCCATGGTGATATTTTGCGCATGAACCGACATCAGGAGAAACAACTTTGTATCTAATTTATACTATACAACACAGGAAAGTAAGATTTGTTTGTGGACACCAATGTAAACTCATCGGAATACACCTATCAATACTTTGAGTTTACTGTCGAATGATCACTACTTGCTTGTCATTGTCGAAATTATAGATTATCTTAAATTACTCGAGAAGTTCACTGCACTAGCAGTGAAAAGCCTGACCGACGACAAAACATATTGGATCTCTGCGAAATATTCTCGAACTACCTGGGAGATCATACAGCTTGTAGAGATCCAGGAGACTAGCAACCTCCAGTATTCAAGCCATCCACAAATTAACAAACACCCGTCTTCTCCAGCCATGTACTGCATTATCAGCTTGTTGAGTTTTCCATGATACTTCCAACTGATGGCCGTTGAACTTATGTACTTCTGAAAACTCAAAATCTTGTCAATTTTCCAATTACACGACAGTCCCCTCCCTGATCCTCACACCAATTATCCTCAACCCCTTTTAATTCTCCACACAACCATATCATCAAACAACCCCCTCCAAAAATATATCGCAAAACCTCCTCCAAACATCCCCTCCTTCTATAAATACGCACATGTCTCCCACCATATCCCAGCAAATGCCATCTTATACCGCACAACATACTGAAATAAGTGAGATATCTACTCCTCGGTCTTCTCTCATCACACCACTTTAATCCTCCGAATACTGAAAGTCAGCTTGAGAAAGGCCCTGATGCTAAAATAGTAAATGATGCTCAATGATAGCAATAGTAATAGCAAAGTATTCCAATAACACTAATCATTTTTGACAGTAAGGAATTCTTCTCCTTCACCCTTTTTCGCAAGACCTACATATCACTTTTTGAAGAGAATATTCTCCTCATACACATTTATCCATTCCTCCGCACTTTCTAGATTCACCAGCCCATCTTAATTTACCTCATAATTCCTTTTTGAGGAAAAGATATCGTTTATCTATCCATATATAAAGTCAAGAATTGATCTAGATCTAGACATACCAGTATCTTTTATACACTCACGAGAAGAACCGTCTTCATATATGATATAACCCGACTACAGAGCATAGCCTAACACCATATCACTAAGCCCTTAATCTCTAAACTCTCCCTTTTCAATCGCACTTTCCCATCTCCTAACACCAATCTTTCTTGTTACAAAATAATACACATAACATAACACTCAATACTCATCTAGTAGTAATAGTAGTAGTAGCATAATCATATTCACCTAGAACCTAACCTAACCTAACCTAATCTACCCCATTACATTAACGAAGAACAAATATCAGAAACGGTAATGACAACGATAACAAATGAGACAACAAAAGGAATAGCGAGCAATAAAGCCATAATACCAATCAACAACAACAAACACAACACCATCAAACAAACAAATACAACACAACCAAACCAGAAAGCCTCATATCACAGTAATTATATTATCTACGGGTGCATAACATACATAATCAACAAAGAGCAAAGTTTTCTCGAAGGTAGAGGACACAACACACTGATCTAATATCCCTCCTACCTTGAAGCTCAGGAATTGCTCAAGCACACTTGGTATTGTTGTGGTGACTTACCAGTGAGTTTATATACCTGAACTATGAGTATTAAGTGGAGTGAAGTCACAGGTATGTATAGAAGAGAGAGAGAAGCTGAGAAACTTCATGGTATTGGTCAATGGTCATGTTTGTGTCATTGTTCGAATAGAATTGAATTGAATTAGTGAATCTACCTACGCTTTGATATCTATCTATCATTTGCACTCCCGTCCGAGCAATGAGATGAGATGAGATTAGAAGAGAAAGAAGAATAAAGTTTGCAACACGAAAGAGTACATTTTCCCAGCTATACCAAACCATGGGTAGTCAGTTCATAGCGGCAAAGACGTCACAAATTTAAAAAAAATGAAATTTTGAACATAATATCACAGGATAACACCCAGAGCCTTTGACATTACGTTCACACTGCCGGCTCACAAGAGCAGTAAAGAGTTTGCTCCGCGCCCACAAACTATATCCATGAAAGCTTCTTTGCCCATAAAGAATAATGTTTGCAAAGCCACATAAAAGAATCGCCTTATCACAAACGACCGCCGCTCAGCGTCTACCCGTCCGCAACCTCGTTGTGCGCCTCTAGAATGAAAATCGCCAGAATCATCAAGGAAAAATCATCACTTGCGAACATGAAATTAGATATGTCGCGGACAGCATGTCCGCCGATGAAAGGCGCATTGAGCTGCCTTTCGGCGCGATTGCATGGTTCTACAACAGAATCATTTCATTGATACATTGGGGATTGACGCTGTGCAATGCTTAAATATGCGCGTGCATCTCCTTCTGCTGCTCCTCATTCGCTACTTTTGCTTCTTCCGTCGCACAAAACATGGAGGACGAAAACGAAACATCCAAGGTACACCTTACGAGCTCTGAACATGAACAACTGATCGAAGAACAATCAGACGAGATGTCCGCAGTCACCGAGACCGAGACTGGCGAGATCAGAGCTACTGATGCCTCAGGAAACGTTACTTCAGGAAGCGTAACTTCAGAGGAAGCTTTGTCTGACCTTGACTTGCGATCGGACCAGAACTCCCCATCCAACGAAATTCACGACATTGAAGTCACTCAGCACACCCCAGGTAGCGATACTGCAGAGAACAAATCTCATGGAATAGAGCTTCCCAATTCGTCGGATCTTGCCTTGCAGCTTCCCACGACAGATATTTCCGAGCTAGAAATCTCCGAACCAGAAGTTTCCGAGCCAGAAGATCCCGGAAACGCGTCCCTTGAAATTGAAGTTACTCAACTTTCAGAGTCCTCAGCTGAACCTATCGAAATTGAGGTTCCTCAACTTTCCAGCCCTTCACCTGAACCCATCGAAATCGACGTGCCCGAACAATCAAAATCCCCACCCGAGTTACCCGAGCTACCCGACTCTGGACCGCAAGATCACAGCGGATCCGACGCAGACAACGAGTGTTCTGACGAAGAGCCCCCTCGAGCCCTTGGGGAATGGCAACTCCGCCAATTAGCAGAGAACGCACTTGAGATTGCTTTGGACGTATCCATTCCGAAATCATCCCCATCGCCAAGCGACTCGAACACATGCAAACCGCGAACTCCGCTCCCCGATCGAGTCTGGCACCCATCATCAACCGACCCAACGCGAGCGAACAAACCAAAATGCCCGCCATGCGAACGCAAGAAGAAGAGGTTTGATTGTTTGGGAAGTCCGCCTTGTAATGAATGTAGCAAGAGAAACATGACTGCTGAGCAATGTGCTTCATACGCACTGGTCAGGAGACGAGGAAAGAGAAGATTGCAAGATGATGATGGGATGGTTACACAAAAAGCGGGGAAACGAGGGAAGAGAAGATGAGGAACGTCTTGGGCACTTCTGCTTGTGGAGATTTTCCATCTCTCTGGAAGACCCAAGTTGGGCCTGAATGGTGATAGGTTTCGCAGGAATAATTGTGAATGTAGCTCTTGAAAGTCGGTATGGTATGATGTCATGCTTAAACTTCATAGAGGGTGAGGAATAAAGATTAATTGGTGGAAAATTTGTTGCCCCGTTTCACTTGAGAGCCTTGCAGTGCATCTTCAAAAATTCGATTGGACCATGTGTTTCCTATCATGTTTCTCGACAGACACGAGATATGAAAGTAATCGCGAAGGCTGGGTAATAGACAACCGGGTTCGGATTATTCGAAAGCGAGATAAGTGAAGTGAGGCATATCGTAGATGAAGGCTTTGGGGTCAAGTTCATCACCAGTCGTGATATAAAAGGCCCGATGAACTTCGTGCAACATGCTGTTGACTGGAATGATGCTAAGATCATATCTGCCGACTTTAAAAAGGTAGAGAGATTTCTATTCGTTGCTGCTGAGCATATGTGCATCCTGAGTAGTCTGCATATAGACGTTTATGCCTCAATATCAAGAATTGGTGTCATTGCAAAGCAACAAACAAGGTAATGGGTAGTCAAACAATGGTCTATTTGTCCCGCCAGTGTGGTTCACTATTTGTCGCAATTCGAGGTGTCATGGCTTCTGGTTATAATGATGTCCATGTGGGAATTTGGTATTTCGCCATGCATTATGCAGGATATTTTTGGAATACTCAGAGCCTGCTCTGAAGATATGCATATTTGAGGGGCATTAACTTCTACAAGTTCCTAGCTGCGTAATTTTGCTTGTGGATATTCAACTCACTGTTTAATAGGTCAGATGAGACTGAGTAGTGTTGCACAACTCAGCCGTAGTCAAGCATCGATGGGTAAGATTTGCTTGTATCTGAAGTGAGATTGTGTCACCGATCAAAAGCATTTAGGCACTCTATAAGAGTATGACCAAAGAATTTTACAAATCCAGCCACATCTCTTAGTAAGGAGTATGAGAAGAACGCCTGTAGATCTTCTGCATATTGCGGGCATCAGAAAATTGAATCTCTGCATGATTGACCGAATATTCGCCTTGAAAGGAGCCTTTTTCTGACTGGACTTCTCGTGCATCGCATTTGTGCCGTGGGGAAAACACTCTATCCGATGTCTCTAAACTTAAACTTGTTTCTTTACTTAATTGATATATAATGTATCATGGTATCCCACGTGACGAAGACAAGTGAGATGGAGAAATTGATGACGGGTAAGGCTGATGTTGGCGAGGACTTCCATGGCTGCCGGCCTTGAATGAACGCAGGAACAATTGGAAATTTTGGAGCCTTCTTTGGAGAAACACAAGACGTGCATATTCCATACTCCAAAGATGTGAGAGGAAGTAAATCCCACTAAAATGTGGCGTCCCCATGGAGTAGACAAATGTTCTTCAGCTTTCCCATGGGGATTTATGGTATTCCAAATGAGTTTAACGGTAGGTATTGGAGAACCTTGTTTGGCTCAAGCCACGCGATATCCAAAATAGGCATTATTCGCGAAAATTCCTATTTTGAATTATCACGCTTTTGCATTCCAACAATACGATTTGGGGATTCTTGATGTTCCGGCTCTTCGGTTAGCTTCTCCGCAAGAAAGTGACTTGATAAGCGCTAGTGCCTGTATGAGAGCGGCGGCATCATGTTGTAGCCAATCAAAGGTTTTTTTTTTTACCCACACCATTTCCATACTCGCCGATTCGTATATCAATACATAGAATGAGCCAAGCCTAGAGCTCTTGACAGCCTCGAGAGAGGCACATTCTCACGTGTTGGATCCTGTTTGTCTTCCACATTGAGTCTTGGCTCGTCCGTACATACCCCTGCCTGTGACACCTGTCATTGGTCATTTAGTGGCTTGGAACCTTGTTATATCATGTCTTGATTCGATAGTCAGTTCGCCGTTTTCTTCAATATGGAAGAAGGGGTGAAGCTGTACTGAAAATCGAGGGGATTGTCCACTAAGATATACAAATGCTTGCCAGGTGTGACTCGGACCTTGCTGATACAGGCCACATAAACTATTGAATCTGGGTGTCGGTAATCCTCTCTTACCGTTCACTTAATTTACCCTGACATGAAGCCTGCACGATATCCCGCTAATATAAATTGCTCATGAAATAAATAAAATCGTGTCTGATGTTGGTCGAGTCACCAGCCCAAGGCAAGATTTTCCCTGTCGTTACTCTCGTGAATGATAACGGACCGATTCCTGTCAATATCTGCCAGAATTTCCAGCTCATTCCTAGATTTCCAAGTTACAAACCTTTGGGATTTTGATGCCTATAGACTTTAAGATTGGAAGGAAGAATTTCAATACTACCCACACAAAACCTGACGAGACCCTGACGAGACCCTGACGAGTATTCTTCCGGCAATCGGCAAATTGATGCGGCAATTAGATCGGCCCCACGACAAAAACAATGTCATTGAAGCTTCCCTATCCAAACGTTTATAAATTTCTCAATAATTTTTCTGCCCCCGATCAAGGGTCTCCAGAACAGACTTCAAGAAGTCAAGGACTCAGAAAAAGCGGTCCGAGATCCAAGACGGGCTGTTCAACATGCAAGTAAGTCGAGTTAAAAGTTGTGGATCCATTCCATTGAGATTTCTCCACCGGGGAATCTTTATCGGACAATCATCAGATCCGCCCGTCACTGACTAACACAACACAGACAGCGACGTGTTAAGTGCGACGAAACCAAACCAGAGTGTGTCAGGTGTCAAAACCTTGGTCGTGAATGTGGTGGATACGCCCCAGAGCATGCTGAAGATGCCTCCAAACAAACTTCTCAGAATGCTCCAGTACCCATCCATCCACGACCGATGTCTGTAATGTCCTATGCCCCTTCGGTCGCTATACTTAGTGATCAAGCCGAACGTCGATATTTTCAAAGGTTCTGTGACAAAACAGCGGCTGAAATTTGCGGTTCTTTCGATCCAACCTTTTGGACGGAGAAGGTCCCTCAACTCTGTCACCATGATGCTCCCATCAGATATGCCACTATCGCCTTAGGAGCTCTTGCGAAATCCTTGGAGATCACATCTTCTCCAACTCGACTGTCACTTTCGGGATTCCCTCAAATCGATCATCATCATTTAGATGAACACCATCGTTTCGCACTAAGAGAATACAGCAGAGCCATCGCTTCGCTGAGGATAATTCTTTCGGACGGCAGAAGGCATTTGAGGACATCTCTTACAGCATGCGTACTATTCATGACCTTCGAATCGCTTCAGGGAAGCTACGAAGGTGCTCTGACTCATCTGAGAGGAGGTTCTAGATTGTTGGCGGATTGGAGGATTGCTCGAAGAGGTGGAAGTTCTAGATTGTCGCACGATTCGTTGTCCGAAATACAAGATAATTTGGTCGATGACTTAGGTCGACTTTTTGCTCGTCTTGATGTCCAAGGTCTTTTTGTTCCGCCGCCATATCCCGTTCCAAACCTTCTTCAAGATGACATTGAAATCCCAGACGATTTTGAAAGTGTTCAAGAAGCTCGAGAAGTATGGGACTTCCTGATGGCTGCTATTGGTCAATTCTATCGAAAATCTGTCATGAAGTCGCAAACTGAACCAGAAGAACTTTCTACTCCATATTGGAACAGACTTCATACTCACTACACCACACAATTGCTTCGATGGCGAAAAGCCTTTCAATCCGTGCATGCTGAAGAAGCACACGCTGGAAGTATTTTTGCCGATGCAACACATATGTTAAGCATCTACTATAACATCGCCACGATACTTGTTGCATCAAGTATTCCACATACGGAGATGCTATATGACGAATATAACCACCTCTTTGCAGAGATCATATGCAAAGCTCAGATTTTACTCTCTAGTCCGGATGATCCGAGTAATGCATCTCGCTTCACTCTTGACATGGGAACAATCCTCCCTCTCGTGATCACGGCAGTGAAATGCCGTGATCGACGAATTCGACGTCAGGCTATCGCACTGCTTTGGTCCAAAGCAAGACGAGAAGGACTTTGCTTTGACACTATCAGTGTAGCAAGAATTTGCGCATGGCTCTCAAGTATTGAAGGAGAAGGTATTCAAGAAGATAATCAACCAATCCCAGAATCATCCAGATGGGTAATTTCATACTTGCATTTGAATTCCGAAGAAAGGTGGTTAGCTGTGCAGTTGACGTTGAAACAAGGCGAGAATGGAAACCCAAGGTACAGAGAAACAACATTTTCTTGGTAAATGATGGTTAGGTCCTAGGAGTTGATTTTTGAAAACATGGTGAGGGACTGAATGATTTTTGAAAATGGCGTACGGAAAGATACAACAACAAACGGGTCATGGGTGTTATGAGAGACGCTTCCAAGGCCATGAAAAGTTCCAGTCTTCGGTCAATGAATTATGTATGACATATGGGAAGAAAATTGGAATGGTACAACAAGGCTTCTTCGGACATACTAAGGAAAAGAGGAATGATTGGACTTGGGAAGCTATGGAAGGGGAAATCAGTATGGTACTGTGGAGTTTTTGTGCGGGCTACATGAGGTAGGAGGTAACAATACTCAAACTTGCCTGTGTATATTATTATGTAGTGTTATATCAAGAAGTAGTATTCGTTGGAGAGCTCCAAGGAGATTCGCTGTTGATTTTGGTGACTTCTTTTTGATGATCGTGTATGCATGTGTGAAGAACTGCATATTTCGAAGTAGGTACACCTGGTAAATGGATTGACGTTACTTCACTGGCCAATATAATGCATATGTCTCGAGGCCAGCCTCTTCAAAAGTTAGATAGCAGTATTTGTATTTGAAAGAAGCTTTCGAGACGGACGGCTAATAGTGAGAGTGTATTGTGTTTGAAAGAAGCTTTCGAGACCGATGGCTGATAGTGAGAATATATTGTATTGGAAGAAACCTTTCGATATCGACAGGAAATACTGAGAATGTAATGTAATGTGTGTGAAAAGATGTACATAGGTACTTTAGATGTACTCGAGTACAAAGGTACTTTCTCCCATAGATAATAAGCTTTACTGCACGTGCACTTGATTTTGTCTTATCACCCCTCCATATTTGCCTGATTATTGAAGGTATTATTTAGTCAGGCACCAACTATATACGCTAATCTCTTTTTGGGGCACTAAATAATTTCTAAGCGAAAACTCCCACAACTCCTACCCAAATTCTTGTTATCCAAAATTCCCAATATTTTCGAATTTCTAATCGTTCAACGCCCACCGACTTGACGACCATCACCCAACGATCAATTCGATATCAATATGGCTGACGCACCAAGAGGCGGCGCACGAGGAGGTTTCGGCGATAGAGGCCGTGGAGGAGATCGTGGACGTGGACGTGGACGAGGTCGCGGACGTGGTCGTGGAGGTAACAAGGACGAGGCAAAGGAATGGCAACCAGTCACCAAGCTTGGTCGTCTCGTGAAGGATGGAAAGATCAACTCAATGGAGGAAATCTACCTTCACTCTCTCCCAATCAAGGAGTACCAAATTGTTGACTTTTTCTTGCCAAAGTTGAAGGATGAGGTCATGAAGGTATGCGAAATTTACAAATATTGCTTCGATGCGATTATGCGATTTTGGTAATTTGTTAGATATGGGTACTGATGTGAATTTTGTCTATAGATCAAGCCTGTTCAGAAGCAAACCAGTGCCGGTCAACGTACCAGATTCAAGGCCATCGTTGTCATCGGTGACTCTGAGGGACACGTTGGTCTCGGTATCAAGACCTCCAAGGAAGTCGCAACTGCTATCCGTGCCGCCATCATCATCGCCAAGTTGTCTGTTGTGCCAATTAGAAGAGGATACTGGGGTACTAACTTGGGTACTCCTCATTCTCTCCCAACCAAGGAGAGTGGAAAGTGTGGTTCAGTTTCTGTCAGAGTAAGTAACCACATGAAAATGTCACAACAGATGATTTGCTAACATTTCTCCTTTCTAGCTTATCCCAGCTCCCCGTGGTACCGGTCTTGTCGCATCCCCAGCCGTCAAGCGTCTCCTCCAACTCGCAGGTGTCGAAGATGCATACACTTCCTCTTCCGGTTCGACCAAGACCCTCGAGAACACCTTGAAGGCTACTTTCGTTGCTGCCGCCAACACATACGGATACTTGACTCCTAACTTATGGAAGGAGACCAAGCTCGTCAGAAGTCCTTTGGAGGAATTCGGTGATTCTCTCCGTGCTGGCAAGCGTTACTAGGTGCTGTAGTAGGCTTGTGAAATCAATTCTCTAATTTATGCGTATGGGTTTATATGGGGTTAAAAGCTAGGGTCTATAGCTATGTCTCAATGAACTGATTGCCTTCATTTTCGATGAAAATGCTGCTGTGCTTAATTGTTCTAGTGAAATGAACTATGGAAGTAAGGCGCAAACAGACCGAGTAATTTTAGGTTGGAAAGGTGGGAATAGCAGGTAGAATTCTCTGAAGCAATACTGGTAGGGAAGGAGTCTCTTAATGGATATGGGAAGTCGAGGTAGCACCACCCAGCAACTCAGGAAGGAACCACCCATTGCGACCCAACAATAAGAAAACCATTTCATTTTTCCTCTCTTCTTCTCTCAAACTTCTTCAATACAACTCTTTCGCTCGATGCAATTTTGGTAAATTTTGGTCTCCGTCTCTGCACCCTTCACCTCTGCACATACATTGATGCAATTTTGGTCATTGATACAGCCATAAACTCGTTTTACTTGCTTCAAGCATTTTCACTTTCTTTTCAGAATCTCTTTTGTCATTAAAATCATGCCTTCACGTCGGTTTGGACGACCTGCCATGATTGTTGCTACACTTATTGCCTTTGCGGTCCTCACGCTTGTATTCATCGGAGAGGGATTGAAGGCATTTGTCCGTAGGGATGGTGTTAGCTTGGGGAAGAGAGATGGTGCTTTCGGTCTGAATTGGCAGTAGGTATTACTTATCCATTCTTTTGCTCGAGCTAACATTACTTCAAAGTACAACGGTCTTCACGCCATTTACTGGAAGAAGTGATATCTCGACATTGAATGATTGCTCGCCTAATTCTTCGAACACACCAGCACCTCTCATCATCGACCAGATACAGTCTCGAGAGCAAGCTACAGAAGATGGTTCTACAACAGTTTCTGCCATTCTTGCTCAAGGAACAAACACGGTTTCATTTGCTCTTCAAGGGAGATCTGACATGGTGTCTGTTATCTTGGCCAACATCAACAGCTTATTGGCCCATCCCACTGGCGTTAGCAACACTCGTGATACAACAGGGCTACTTGCCATTGCCATGGCGAAGTCAAACCCAAGTGTCTCGAGCACAGCAGTACTCTCAGCCACCACTCTTACTGATCTTCATTCCCTCGCCGCCTCTGAATTGTTGAAGAAAGCAGCAGCATTTAATGCTCACCACGATTCTCACGGTGAGTCTTGTGAATGTGCAGCATGCATCTCTTCGCCAGCAGCTTCCACACCAATAACAGCAGCTCCTCCTCTTCCAACACAAGAGTTAATGGCCAGAGCTTTCATGGTCAGAGCCGATGCTGAAACAGTTACTGTGACTGTCTCGTATGTACCTTTACTCATGTGATCTTTCTGGCCTCACCTAACTTCTTGACAGGGTATGCCAAGACACAACACCAAAGCCTTTGAACTCGACTGGATCAGGTAATCAAAGCCCAGCCCCGGCATCTAACTCGACGTCGTCAGGTCCTAAGAATCCTGCACCAGCTCCAGGAAGTTCGAATTCACCATCATCGGGATCCGAGAATCCTGCACCAGCTCCAGGAAGTTCGAATTCACCATTATCGGGATCCGAGAATCCTACACCAGCTCCAGGAAGTTCGAATTCACCATCATCGGGATCCGAGAATCCTACACCAGCTCCCAATAGTTCGAACTCACCATCATCAGGATCCGGAAACTCTACTCCAGCACCAGAAAGTTCGAATTCAACATCATCAGGTCCTAAGAATCCTGTACCAGCTCCAGATAATTCGAATCCGACATCATCGGGACCCAACAACCCCTCGCCTGCGTCTAACTCGACATCGTCAGGTCCTAAGAACCCTGTACCTGTCCCCGACAACTCAAACTTTACATCACCTTCTCGACCAAATCCACCTTTCGCTAATGGAACTGACACCGGCTCTGGCTCTGGCGGAGCTGCTACTGGCTCCGGATCTGCTGGTTCAGGAAATAGTTCGGGAGCTGGTTCAGGAGCGGGTTCGGGAGCTGATTCGGGGGCTGGTTCAGGGGCTGGTTCAGGATCTGGTTCAGGAGCTGCTGGTGCTGCATCGGCATCAGGTGCGGTGGCCAGTGCCGCCTCTTTGTTTTCTGGCAACTCTACACAGTAAGCTCTCCATCCATTTCCATCCATTTCCATCCACACTTCCTATCGATTCAAAAACTAACATTAACATAGACCAACGGGTATCGCTCAACCAAGCAACGATGCAGGCAAAACTTCAAGTGCCAGTAAATCAACACCAGCTGAGAACACGTCTCCTGTGTCATCTGCAAGCATCAGTCCACCGATTGCCAGTCAAGCATCTGCTGCTTCAAGTGGTATTGACAATAGCATCTTCGTACTCGTTACACTAATTACACCTGCTCTTTCGAATATTGTTTACTTCGTCACTACGGTTGGCCCCATTGCTGTTATGGTTATTATGGGTCAGATTTGGCTGCTTTGATTTCAGAGTGAAGCAGCATGGAAATAAAATGGTATACTATACTTTGATTATATTATCTCATAAGGTTAAGGTTTATAATGGAATTAATCATTACATACATGACTCTTGTATTTATAGTGGTGGTGGTCGGAAGTATTATGATGATGATGATGATGGATGGGATTTTTTGGAACAAAGTAATTAAGTTATGTGTTAGTTTATGATTAATAGATGAATAGAATAGATGAATGGAATAGAATGATTAATAGATGAATAGAAGGTTGGGAATAGAAATTATCTGTATGTGTATGTGTAAGATTTTTTAAGATTGAGGATTGAGGATACGGTAAAAGATATCCGGAATTGTGATCTGATGTGGTGAGGTGAGAAGTGAGAGGTGAGGTGAGGTGAGGTGAGAAGTGAGAAGTGAGAAGTTAGGAGTGGTGAGTGAGGAGTGAGGGTGAAGTATAATACACCTACTAACCCATGTTTCGAGGTTTGAGGTTTGAGATTTGAGACTGCAGATTAATAATTAATAATTAATGATGGCTAATGATGTTTGGTTGAAGAGGGATTAGAGAAGAGAGGTTATAAATTAGAATGTGATGTTGATAGGAAGGTGTTTATAATATCAGTTAGGTATACTTATACTCGTAGTATAAATAAATTATGAAAGAGCTGGATTGGGGAGATGGGAGATGGGAGATGGGAGATGGGAGATGGGAGATGGGAGGGGTGAATGGGATGGATGGGAATGTATGAGGGGAAGGTGGGGGAGAGGGTATAAGGGGGTATGAGGAGATATGAGGGGTATAAGAGAGTAGAGAACGGTGAAAAGGGGTATAAAGAGGGGGTATTGTTTGGGGTTATAATTTAGAGGGAATTAGACACTGGAAAAGGAGTGGGGGTTGGAAAAGAATTCAAGGGGTGGAAAGGAAGAGGCTTTTTAGGGTTGGAGTCGGAGTTGAAGGGTTGGAGGTTGGTGCGAAGGGGATCTTGAGGGAGGTGGGGGAGTAAGTGATAGATGGTGGGTGTTGGAGGGTTGAAAGGTTGGAAAAGTTGGAGAATGAAGGGTGGCAGTGGTGGATAAGTGATGGGGGCGGGGGGGAGGGGTGATGAGTTTGGATTTGAAAAAAAAAGACAGTGAAGAGAGAGAGAGAGATAGGTTGTCATTGGGTGCGTGTTGGAGATTATGTGATATAAGATGGGAATGAAAAGATTTGTGGTCGGTGATGTGATGTGAGGTAGTTATAACTTAGATTAGAATGACAACTAACTCATTTGTTACCGTCGCTAACTGCTGTTTAGCTGTATTATTGTTGTTATTTTTTGAGATTAGAATGTTTATTGTCATTGTCATTGTCATTGTCATTATCATTATCATTCTTCTCTTTCTTCATTTAATCATCTAACAGCCATTAAAACTCCCTACATTTCTTGGAAAATCATATTATCCTGAGCTTCAAGTTGAATAAAGCTTATGATTAAGAAATAAAAGACAAGTCGTATAAACAGATGAAGGGTAGATATAAGTTTAATTAGTTATGGAAGGTGGATTTTATGGGGTTTATATACTGGCACCGTAACTAACACTCGTAGATATTTCGAGGTTGAGTTGACACATACTATTCTACCCTCTTTCGATATTCACTATCCTACTACCTATTACTCTAACCCTAAATTATCGGGGGAATATCTCTGTATATAAATTCCCCTCTTCCCCTGTAATCTTCATGATCAACTACTCCCGGACACCAAGGATAAATCCATTCATATGCGTTAAGCAAATATTCGCAGAATCTAATGTAGAAATGTAACTTTTAATTTGATAAGTATGAAGATGAAAGGTTATGCGACAAATGTAAATAGTATGTGTATGTGTATATGTGAAGAGAAGTGGATGTACATTAGTGGATGAAATGATTGTTGTTCAAGTTTAGTTTCTACCGTGAGTGTCGTTGATCTATCTAGGCATCTTGCTGTCGCTTACAAGTGAGAATGTAAATTTAGATGATAGTGACTTGACTACATGCAAAAGACAATCAAAATTAAGATCCCTAACCTACACACTTACCAGTAACAATACAAAGCTCCTGCACAAATCCATCTTTGCCTTGTTTGACAAAATTTCAAACTCTACAACAGCTCTAGACCCGCGTCTCTTCTAACACGATCCTTATATTTTTGGTGTACGTATTAGGCTATTAGTCTTTGTCACTCCTTATAAGTTATATATTGGGTCGCTAGAAACAATGATAGATGGAAGTTAATACCAGCCGAATCTCCTATAAAAATGTCGGAGTGAAAGGAACCTTAGGCTTTCGATTTCTGTGATGGGCATGGAATTAATCGTTGGTAGAAATTCTATAGCTAGGGAATTTATAGGCAGGATGGGTATAGGTATCGGTATGCTACTCAAGTTGTGCAACCGCTACTTAGGACTAATAAAGTAGAGGAATTGAACATTTCATACTGCGAAGTAGTAAAGGCAAAAAAAGTGAATGTACGAAATACGAAATACGAAATCCAGAGATCAGCGTTCCAGGAGGAATATATAAGTTACCCCGAGTATCTATTTCTTAGAGTGTAGATATTGCGAAATGAAAGGAATGCTGAGCTGTGAGGACGCAACTTGTGAGAAAGCAATATCTGGCGATATTTAAACTCAGTCAGGCTACTGTAGATGTTAGACTGACTTTGTGAAGCTGTGTAGTTGATAAGGAAATTGAATATCTCTAAAAATCATTTGCGTATATCATTCAAAGATATAAGTTTAGCATCATTATTGCCACATACCATTCTCCGCTGTCTTAATTCCAATCACGATTCCTCGCGTCCCAACCAACTACTCGTAAGACTTACAACAACAAATACTCTCATCGACAACAAGCTACAGCCTACAGCCAATTCTATAACTAATATGTACCTACAAAATCTAGGCGCCCACACACCCTCCCCTGTTGCTTGGAAGAGATATGCATTGTTTTCCTCCTTACTCTACATAAAAAGAGCGGATTTCTATAAAATATAGAATAGAATAATGAGGAGGATGAAAACCCAAGGTCCCCACCCTTCTTTAGCGATATTGATACTTGTATTGCGTAGCGAAGCGAGGCTATGAAGCTTAACCCCTTGGAGTCTTGGAGCTTTGGAGGCTGAGGGCAGCAATTATTGTGAAGATTGTGAGGATTGAGAGGTTCTTAGGAATTTTATTGAGATGATAACAAGACATTGGTTGGAATAACTGTAGTTTGTGTACTACACAATTAAACACAAACATTGTAATCTTATAACAGTGTTCTTACTCGAGTATATATCAAAAGAGTATTTTTGTCCGTAATATCAAGCAATACTTGCTCTATGCCTTGATCAATCAAACTTCATTAGATCATTAGCTCCGCATCACTGTCCCATCCATCTCAAACTACCATTCCTCCCCCAGCACCGGCCTAGACACCCCTTCCTTCACCAATACTCCTCCCTCCCCTCTTCCCCCCTCATCTCCCGTCACAGTCACCCCAACAAAAATCTCAAATTTCTTCAACCCCAACACTAACCTCCCCGCCTTCTCACACTCCCTCTTAATATCCTTCCTCAACTTCGCCAACGCATCAACTGCAACTCCATCTACACTTCCACTCTCATTTCGCGAAACAGTATATACGATAGGTACCGGCACTGCATCTTTGAGTCTACAGGTTAATGAATCTAAACCTTGTTTGTGATCTATACGAGTAATGTTTATGAACCAGGAGAATAGTTGAGGGATGGTGACGGGGGGTTTTCCTGGGGTTCCGAGAATCCATTTGGGGTAGGGTGTGCTGAATGGGCCAGTGGGGGAGAGCTGGATGCGGAATTGGATGGTGGGGGTTAGTTGATGGTTGGATCGTGGGATTGTGGGGGTATTGGTGGGTAGAAGGGTAGTGGAGGATGGTTGAATGGTACTAGTGGTGGATAATTTGCGGATGTTGAGAGTGCTGGGGATACAGTCGTGATTACTTCAGGAAGGGGAAATGAGTTTTGTGGTAGTGATGGTGGATAGTGTATGTAGGATGATGGTGTTTGAGCTGTAATGATGGCTCCTTGAGGAGCGATTGATCCTGAAGACACAGGGTGGGGATATTGTTGCTGGCTCCGATAGGAAGTCGTGAGGGGAAGCCGGGGCATTTGGGAATTGTGCGGGTATAACAAGTTGTTGTTATGGCTGGAGTCGAAATGAGGGGTTGTCACTTGAGGTATCGCTAGTGAAGGTCGAGACTGGGGGGGATGTTGCGTATTCGGGTAATATCCTGGGAGCGATAATGTCGGAGAGGCAATTGAGGCGCACGAATTGCTACGTCCTAGAGTAGATTGGACGTGTCCTGTTATAGGAACTTTACCTTGTGGTTGGATATCAAGATTATTCGGTTGAAAGTCAGAAGTGTGAGTCTGCGTAAGCCCATGTGATAGAGGATTAAGTTGAGGTACTGATTTCTCAGACCCGGTGAGTGAGCGGAATTGGCGGGACCATTGTTGTTGCGACTGTTGCGCATTCACGGATTTTGGTTGACTGATATTGGTTTTTTGATTTGTCTTGCGCTGCCGTCCTACGGGTCGTTGTGGCAATTGTGGCAATTTCTGTGGAACCGAAGCTTGACCAAATCTTTGGTTTCCTTTTCCACTTGAGGAAGCATTTTCATTTGATGCTTGGCCACTAGATCTTGCCGAAGAATTTCGTCGTGCCGTTCCATTTGAATCATCCGAGCTCAATCTTTTCTCGTCCCCTCGAGGGCAATGTCCTTGGAATACAAGGGTACTGTTCATCGGTCGCTTGAGAGGCACTAACGGGACATGTGGTAGTTTTGGATTTGTAAAAACCTGAAAATTCTGGCCAGTAAATTCATGGTGCCCATCGACGAACATCCAGAAGCCATCCCATATACGCTGTCTAGCTCTGATCAGGTCCTTATCATCATTGATGTCAATTGTGAAACCAGAGGACCAAGAGGCATTGAAGAATGTGAACTCTATCAAGGTATACTGAGGTTCAATGATTGATCTCCAAAATTGCAGAAATTAACCATCTCTTTGCCAGATTAGCACCATTGCTTCATAAGACACGATTCGACTGAATTTGTTTGGGGTAGATACGAGTAGATGTGCAGCAGATTTGAAGATATCCAACTGGTGCAAAAATGAAGCCTCCGAGGGGTAGTTGTGGCAGACCGGGTCCTTGGAAAAATTGATATTTCCTGCAACAGCTTTTCCCCAAGGGATGGCATGGGCGACGGAGGTTTTATTTGGCGGTGGAACTTGGCTTTCTTGAACGTCGAACCCAAAGTCAGGTAGTCCGTGGCAAGAAGAAGCAGAACTATGATAGGAGTCGTTTGTCTTATTTAGCAGGGTATCTTCTAACGCCGGGGCGACTGGTATTCTAGGATTGCTTAGCGAGCTATATGATTGTTCTGATAAAACTTGAGGTGCGTGACAGTTGATCAAATATACGGGTCCGTCGAGATCGACTTTGATGTCAGGTTCATCAGAGGTAATGATGCTGGGATTATCCTTTCCTTTGTACACCGGGCTGGAGACTGCCACAAATAGCTCTGGTACACTGTTTAGTACCGACATCTATGGCAGGCTGAGTTTAACATCTGGAGACAATAGAGGAAAGACATACCCTTGCAGGAATATGACTATGTTGCTCACTAGCAATAGTATTATTGGGTTGTTCCACGTCGGTGTGGTTGGTTCTGATATGCATGATAGAAAGTTGATTGTTCCAAGCGTTTTGGAATATTGCGCTCTTGACTAGAAGGTTGTCTTTATTATATACTAACAGTCCCATTGTTATCCAGTGATAAGTTGAGAGGATCAGCTTGTTGCATCGGTCCATCATTTGTCCTCTACAATGTGGGTCGTTTGATAATTCCCCCTCCTTGAATAGATAGTCGACAAGTTTGTTGATTTTATCATCCTGGTCTATCTGGTAAAAGTTGTGAAGGTGTAAAAATCGATAAACCGCTAGCTTGACCAGCATCGGCCATGGCGTATTCTATAAAGAGATTAGCAAGCCGTTATATGCAAAAGAGTGGTCTCTCAATACTCTTCGGAGCCACAGGAAATTTATGGTTGAAAAAGCTTCCGTTAAAGCTTTGCTATTTGACATCTTCAGTAGCATAACATGATCCCGAAGACAGTTTGATCCATGATTCTCTAGAGGTGTAGTAAGGGCTCCACTCTCGTTGTTTGGAGAAGCTCTCAGATTCATTATTGACTCTGAAAGATGTTTGTTAAACAGACAACTTATATTGAATTGTTCAAAGGACGCGTATCATAAGCACTAGATATACACATCTATAACAAATGGAGTGCGAGCAAAGTATACATCCACACCATATGCAGAGAGCCGCCGCCACCATATTTGATGGGCACGAGCTCTGGAACATGCACCATACCTGTCTACAGTAAGGTTTTAGGATTCACCACCCTCTGGATCCAAAAGACACAGTTGAACCTGGTATCTTCAATATGCATTATATGTATAGAATGTTGTGAGTACGACTGGTCTTCTTCTGATGAGTCTTCTTTCAAGAAAGAAATCGCATTGGCCAGTGCCAGTTGTGACTGATGGCGATGATTCATTCTGCCTAGAAGAAGAGCCAAGAGACCTTGCTAATGGTACTGTATTTCATCTCATACAGTGGAATATTGGAGAGTTAAGTCATTGGCAGATATCAATGTCTGTCTTGAAAGCCAAACTTTCGGATCTCATGTCTCACTGGTAGTGTGCATGTTGTGTTGTGCGCATGGAGAACATATTCCCAAACGAAAAGCCGTGCTTGCAACTTCAATATGCCACAGCCACAGTGGCTCAAATTCATGATGATGTTCAGCCACACTACGAGTAATCGCTGACATCAATCAAAGCTCTGCCACCTCTTACCTCTTAAAGACATCTTCATTCAACAACAGCAACATTCAACATCTAACCACCCATCGGAAATGAAATAATATCCACACGACGAACTGAGCGGACAAGCCCCCGAGAGCTTGTATCAACGTTTGAATTTATATACAATAATGTACAAGTGGCTCGATTGCTGGAGGATCGTTAAATTCCTCCAGTCATAGGCTCGCAGACAATCTATATACTTGAAACTCTGCCGGCTTCGAGCGTTTCCGCGACCCACTGAGAAGACGTTTTCCGCTTTGATCGTCTTCGATAATGTAGGTACTGGTACTAGCTATGTTTCCTTGATTTCTTTTAGGAAACCTTTCAATTGTGATACGAGAAGATCGAAGTATATTTTGAACCCTTTTTGGTACGATGCGTTGAGATTCTAAGATTTCGCGTTGCGACTCTTCTAAGCCTCACTATGGCATATGATAACGCCTCTACGATGACACTCTTTCATTCGTTTTTTAGCTTGCAGAGTTGTAGTTTCGGCAGGCTCTCGATTGCAATAACCCTAATCTTAGGTATTGGGTTGGTCGTACTGTTTAGGAGTTTAGACCGTAAGAACGAAGGGCTCATAAAGGGGGTTGAGCCTCCCGAGGTCAAGTCAAAGATTCCATTATTTGGACATCTGATTGGTATGCTGAGGGGACAAGTTGGATATTTTCAGACTTTAAGGTAAAATTGAACAAGAGGCACCTGGCACACTCCCAAGCAGTTTGCTTACCAGCTCCTCGATTTCTACACGAAACGGTTCATACCCTGGCATGAACCTTGACTTACAAGTTCTATCACAGTTCCAAACATCCTCTTTATTCAGTCTTCACACTCAAGATATTCGCCGCACGTATTTACGTTATCTGCGAACCATCCCTGATCCAAGCTGCATATCGAAATACGAAAGCCTTCGATTTTACTACGTTTGTTGTCGATTCTTCAAAACGTGCATTTAATATAGGCGAAGATGGAATGAAAATAATCCGCGGGGAAACTTCACCAGATTATGATCCGAAAGGACCATTTCTAAATGGGAACAATGGGAGATCGTACTTGAACGAAAATCATAAATTGATGGTGGAATATCTAGGACCTGGAGGTAGCCTGCTAGAGTTGAACAAAGGAGTATTGGGTGCCGTCGCTGAATTCATTGACGAGCTCGGTCAAAAGCCTAGGAAAATCAGTCTCTATAAATGGATGAGAGATACCCTTACATTGGCTACTTCTGCCTCTCTTTATGGGCCCCACGATCCTGTGAGTGCTGATCACAGGCTCATAGATTCTCTTTGGTTAGTAATATCACCTCCGACATTGAAGAAAGATGCTGATGTAACATTGTCACCAGGGACTTTGAGGAGAATATGACGATGCTTATGCTTGAACTTCTTCCTACATTTATTTGCCCACAGGCTTATCACGGCCGTGCAGCAATTAAAACTGCCTTCGCATCATATTATGCGTCATCACATCATATGACTGCCAGTACCCTCATTCAATCACGATTAGAGTGCTCTCAAAAATGGGGGCTCACATCTGAAGAAATCTCGAACATCGAAATCTCCACACTTTTTCTCGCGACAACTAATTCGGCGCCAACAAGTTTCTGGCTACTTGTGAATATTCTTGCCAATCCGTCCTTGGTATTCTCTATTCGAAGCGAAATCACCAATATTATATCTAGAAACAAAGGGGATGGTGGAATTGAAGAGTGTATCATGAACATTACTCTGTTTCAATCCTGTTGTCCCATGTTGATGTCTTGCTTTCGAGAAACACTGCGATTCGCCGACGCAGCGACATCTGTTCGATCTGTCACCCAAGATGTGCTTCTCACATCATCAACCTCATCATCTTCGTTTTTGCTCAAAGCTGGAAATGTCATACAACTCCCTTCTGGCGTGACTCACAACTCGCCATCAATCTGGGGTTCAAACGTCAATTCATTCGATTCAGATCGATTCCTACCAACTACTATCGAAAAGTTAAGCAAAGAACAGAAGAAGCAACAAACACAGGGATATTTTCCATTTGGTGGCGGTAAGCATTTATGTCCAGGAAGGCATTTTGCCACAACTGAAATTCTCGCCCTCGTTGCTACTATTATTATGGGGTTCGATGTTGAGGGCTCAAGTGTGCCAGAAAGAGCTTTTCAAAAGTTGGGTACGGCGGTCAGGAAACCGAAGAATGATGTTGAAGTCGACATCAGGAGAAGAAAGGGGTGGGAAGATGTTAGATGGAGATTTGATGTGCAGGGTGAAGTTGATTTTGAGGCTTTGGTGGGGGAGGAAGTTGATGCATGAATTTGATATGTACATTCTAGCGAACTTTGCGTTGCTTTATTCTGAAATATACCTCTAGCTACCTTCCGCAGGCTAGTCTGGACTGCAGTTAAGCAAGTCCATTAGTTATACTGACTTCGTTTCCTATATTCCACTTGCTTTATGTGTTATGTCTGCTTGGAATTTTGAATCGTCTGGGATTCATCCACATAGATTCATAATACTTCTAAAATACTGAAGGGTTCTGATCTGGATGGACTACGACTATGATTATATCTAGTGTCTTCATGACATCCGAGCTTAATGTTCAAGGTGTCTGATTTCAACGGAAGGGCATTCCTTCCTCGGTCGGTCTCGATGTCTCTTTAACTTGATTAAAACAAGTGTGTAAAGACCAAAACCGAAGTGATTCGATCTCTTGGTTCGTTCTGTAGACTGCGGTGATATTTGCGTGTTATTCATATCTTATCCGTATTTTCAAGCCCGACCTGCAGTCTTCTCCTATCTTGGTGGAAGTCAGTGGTTCGATGTTGCAAACTCCTGCTTGCTTCTCCCTTCCCAAGTTTCAGTGAATAATGTGTATGGGCTGTTTTATTTTACCCCTTTTTGACTACGTATTTTAGGAACTCTCTTCAATATATTTTGCTTTCTTTCTTCTTCTTCTTCTTCTTCCCCTACAACGTATCTGAACTACAATTCCAAATTGCATTGCATTTCTCCCCTGCCTTCGGCGTTTCTCCTCAATATTCCTTTTGCATGTCACTCATCCCCAAATTATTATTATTTTTCAAAATGCGTTATTTCAATTGTGCAGGTCTTCTTAGCCTGCTCGGTATGAACCAGTTCGCAGCAGGTGGAGCCGTTTTCATTGAGCCATATGCGAAAATTGCCCAAGTAACCCTCGCCCAGATTCCATTCAAACTCTGCAAACTAATCATAAAACCCCAGTTCTGGGCCAAAGTAATCGTACCCAAAGCACCAACAGTCATTCAAGCAACAGGAATTTAATCCTTTTGGCCAGCGCTCGAACCTGCGAACAGCGCTGCTATCCTACAAAATGTAGTTGCCAATGAAGGAAAGGTATTAGGGCAGTGGTCATTTTTCGAGTATTACTATGATGGACACGCACCGGAGGGAGTTGAAGAGGTTATCCATGGAAAGAATCGTAATGTGTATCCGGGGGATATCATCGAGAGTGGGTTTGTCTCGATGGATTCTTCTGCAATGTGGGTAGGCACCGTGAATCCCCATCACTGGACTGTGAATTGGATTGTGAAAAGAGGTGCGGAGGGTATTGTGAATAGAGAGGAGGATTTCGCTGGGAATGCTACGATGGACTTTTCGCTTTATCGTGAGTTGGCTCTTCTCTGCTTCGAAAAATATATGTGTATCTATCTATCTTAACTAACACATAATGTCCAGCCGATATGGGAGATTTCACACAAGTATGTCCCATCGCACCACCTCATTTTTCTACATACACACCAACTCCCATCTTTCCTAGAACTTAGACTTGATTGATTAACACACACCCAGGCCATCCTAGCAACCGAACTCAACCGTGCCGCCAAGTGGGACATGGGCCCTGTAGTCTGGAGCGACATTTTCGTTGAAGTCCATGGCACGGCTACCGATTGGTGTAGTATTGATAAATTGGTTCTTTCGGATGTGTCGATTAGTGATGTGGGTCCTGGGAGTGTCTTTCTGTCGAGTACGGGGGTTACGTGCTTTTTGGGGGAGGGGAGGGGTTTACTCTTACGAATAAGGTGGGTTGGGTGTTGAGGTGTGGGATGGAGAATAGAGATGAGGAGGGGGTGGGAATAGGATTACCTTTGCTGGGGTTTTCTGGAGTGGAATGTTGGGTTTGCTGTGTGCGTGAGTGTATGGGGGTAGGGGGGGAGCTCTTATTCATCGCTTATGAAACATGGAATGGAATGGAATGCTAAAGGATATAGATGATGTAATTTACAATGAAGTTATAGTATAGTTGCATCCACATAACTTGACTTCCTGAAATATCATCTGAAATACTCACTCATGTCATGAAATCAGAGTTATGACATTTCGCATGAGATGTATTCATGTATGTGAATTACAAGACTCTTTGGTTCTAATACGACAAATGCACTATCCGTAATCGTAGAACTGTATGATACAACTAATCCTAGTGCAGAAAGCTTGAAGAGCACCTGCAATCCTAATGATCATTAGACACGTGAAATGCTATACAAGTTTCCAAAAAAAAAAACCAGATATAAAGCCTCTGTGATCCAAGCACGCACTTGCATTTTCGGTAATCTCGATCACAAAAATTGAGGCTCGGAAGTTCTGCTATACACAAGAAGGGGAAAGCACATTTTGGTTCCCGTGGGTATCATGATACAATTCCCTTTAATGGATGGTTTCGATGTCTATTGCTGCGATACAGTAGGTGCTGAGATGAGATGACTGATATCAGTGCACCAACTGAGTAGGAGAGCACTTGGGGGAGATATCGAAAGCTATCAGTGTTAAGGTTCCAGAACGGGAGATAAAGGGCTTCGGTGACAGGAGCTCTACAGGTCATAACCGAAAGATAGGAGTGACGACAGTAACGCAAATCTTTAACACAATATCGTAGATGATAGTCCGGAAGTTTGCAGCATGCTTGCTCAGCTCAGTGCCGTTGCTACATTTGCCAACGAGGCATGAGCTGGTGGAGGAAATGCATATGGTCAAATTTGATCCGCTAAAGAAGATATAATATCCTGCAAAATGGCCCTGGTATTCCTTTCTGCTTCAGTTTACCTGCTGTTCACCTACTCTTCACCTACTCTTCACCTACTAGTATCTTGACCTACTGTTCGAGGTGTAAAATTGTGTCACAATTCGAGAGACGTCGAATATTTGGGTAGCATAAGCAATTCACAGACACGTGATGTGTATTCTCCTCCACCGCCTACCTTTGACGCACGAGCCACATCTTAATTCCGGCAAAAAAACTTCTTGAGCTTTTTAATTTTTTCTCTTGTGAATTGAATAAGAAGTCAGTTATCAAACCGGCACAATGGATATCCACCGCTGCAGATTCGTTCCATACCCTCCGTCAACAATCAATGCGTTGGCATTTACACACTCGAAGTTAGCAAAAGGTCAATCCGCCGTTTCTCCACGATTGGCCCTAGGACGCGCAAACGGTGATATCGAGCTCTGGAACCCGCAAAAAGGATCATGGCTTCAAGAAACAATAATTCGAGGTGGAAAGGATCGCAGTATTGATGGACTAGTCTGGACTCAAGATCCTAATGAGGATATCAATGGCACGAAATTACTTGGGAAATCCAGACTCTTCAGCATCGGATATACTACGACTGTTACCGAGTGGGATTTGGTGAAAGGTCAGCCATTACGCTCAGCAAGCGGCAACCATGGAGAGATATGGTGTCTTGCCGCTCAACCTGCAGAGGAACTGAAGGATGGAGAGGAACCTTCTGGAGAGTGTCAAAAGCTTATTGCTGGGTGTGTTGATGGAGCTTTAGTTTTATACTCCACATCCGACGAAGACCTGCAGTTACAAAAAGTTCTTGTTCGCCCATCTGCGAAAAAAGCAAAGATTATTAGTGTTGCTTTTCAAGATCGCTTTCATGTCATTGCGGGATGTTCAGATAGCAATATTCGAGTTTATGATATACGGACTGGATCAATGCTAAGACAGATGTCTTTGGGAGCTGGACCTAAAGGAGGACCTCAGGATATCATTGTCTGGGCCGTCAAAGCATTACCAAACGGAGATATCATTTCTGGCGACTCAACTGGTGAAATCAAAGTATGGCAGGGCAAAACATACAGTTTGATGCAACGTATTAAAAGTCATACCCAAGATGTTCTCAGTCTTGCGACAAGCGCTGATGGGTTGTCGTTTTTCAGTGGTGGTATGGACAGACGTACAGTTGTCTACAAACAAATTAAAGGGAAGAAGAGATGGTCAGAAGTTGGGCACAAGAGATATCACAGCCACGACGTCAAGGCTATGGCAAGCTTGGAGTGTCGAGGAATCAGCGTTGTGGTTTCCGGAGGTAAGCAAGATCTTTCACTTTTACCTTTTATGTAAACTAATGTTCGTTCGCAGGTCCTGATGCTGCTCCTACTGTTCTCCCACTTGCGCAATTCGGTCAAGAGAATCAACGCGCCTTGCCCTTCCTACCTCAACCATCCATTATTCAGAGCTCAACAAGAAAGAGATTGATGATGAGCTGGTGGGATCGCGAAATACATATCTGGCGCATAAATGGACTTTCCGAATCCACCAACAGCGATGAACCAGAGGTTGCAGCTGCCAATCGCAAATTGGTAGCGAAGATACTAGTCAGGGGAGAGTCTAACATTACATCTGCGACATTGAATGCTGCAGGAAACCTGGTCGCAATCTCGACTGTGGCAGATATCAAACTATTCCGTCTTAAGGCACGAAAGCCAGAAGAAGGCGAGGGTCTCAAAATATCACCTGTCGCTGTACCATCGGCCTTTTCTTCTGGGGCCCGTTCGATCCAATTCTCCCCCGACGGAAATTGGCTATCGATAGTTCGTGATGATAGCTCAATCGCCGTGGCACGAATCCTTCAGGATGAGGAAACGCCATCATCCTTTAGTGTTATTCCTCAGCTCTCAAGACTTTCTCGTCTTGATCGCAACATCTCGAAAACTAAGCTTCTAGGTGGTCTTGGCGCATACGAGAGAACTGTCACTCAAACAGCATTCTCATCTGATAGCAGAATTTTAGTCGTCAGTGATTTGGCAGGTTTTGTTGATACTTGGGTTTTAGAAGGAATCGAAGATCTTACACAAGGACTGGAGGAAACACAGGAAGATGACGCATCTGATGATGATTCCGACGATGGTTTAGATGTCGAAGAAGAGAAGAAGCCAAAATTGATTTTCGGTCAACATTGGACACAAAATCCATCCGCCACTCGCATACCAAAACTTCCGGCCGCACCAGTTGTACTATCATTCCGTCCTTCAATGCGCCCCGCACAAATCAATGGAGCCACACCTCCTGCCACACGCAACACTCCTCAACCCATATCTCACGAACTACCTGTCGCTGAGGACCGTTTAGTTATTGTCACATCCACCAATGAAATTTATGAATTCGAGGTTTTGGCCGGTTCACTCACACCCTGGTCTCGTAGAAATCCTACCTCTACGTTTCCTCTTGCTTTCCGCAAACTTGGAGATCTGGCAAGAGGTTGTATATGGGATATCTCTAATGGTCGCGAGCGCATTTGGCTACACGGTGTTGGTTGGTTATGGATGTTTGATTTATCACAAGATTTCCATTTTGAAAACGAGGAAGCAGAAGAGAACGGAGAGTCCGAAATCGCAGGAAACAAACGTAAACGCTTTCAACAAGGGAAATCTGGAGCAGGAGGTATGATTGACACAGATGAGAAAGAGACAGGAATGTCTCGTAAAATCCGCAAACTCATCCACGAAGAGGAGACCCAAGAGACGGAATTAGATATTGAAGCCATTAAAGATGCTATGGATGTCGATTCGGAAGACGATGACAGGGAAATGAAGTTGCTGCTGAGGGAAAAGTCGCAGAAGAGCGAAGATGAGAAATTTGGAGGACCAGCGCAAACCTACAAGACGTTCAAGTATAGACCTATATTAGGTGTGGTGGAGATCGGTGAGGGAGGAGAAGGCGGTCCAGAGGTGGCGATCGTGGAGAGACCTATTTGGGAAGCGGATTTGCCAATGAGATATGAGGGTGACCAGGAGTGGGAAAAGAAGTCCTTGTATTAAGGAAGAGAGGAAGTAGGTATTAGATGGATAGGTAATATGAGTTTGAATGAATGAGGGTGGGTAGGAGAAGCGAAGCGTAGACTTGATGCATCATATGGACGGATATGGCGTTTTGGGAGCTGGCATGGAATGGATCGAAATGATACGAAACGTTCAAAAGCGAAATGTGTCTAGGTGAATATGATATGCACACAGGGATATTTGAGCGATGGGATGTATATGTGTGTCTAATGAAGAGATATCTTATTACTGATACTATTCCATGTTAAGATAAGATAAAATAAGATAAGATATACAATTGGTTCCTCGTTATACTTGTATGTATTGTGCAACTCCTTGTTACTCTTGATGAAACATTTGATTTGCTATGGTAGATAGATTATGGGAAGGGTTTCCGGCGGTGGTTATAGTGTTCTAGGGTACGGTATCGAAATAAGATTTATAGTCAGAGTATTGCAGAGTATTGAGAAACATATTCGAAAAAGTAGAATTAGATGAGATGATATGATGTGACCACAGCTGTACTTTAATAATTGACTGGTCAGATAGACCAGACACCGTGACTGGCTGTACAGTAGTCGTTGTAAGTTACAATGTATTCAAAAAATACAAATGATTCTTATAATTTTTTGGCAAGTAATGAACCGAATACTACAAATATAATAAACGAGATGAATATGAATATAGAGCAAAGCAAAGCAAATTACAGTATATAATTATCTATCGATAGTCTAAGGCCTGGCCACAAACTGATTATAGTATAACATTTATATTAGAACCGCCTCTAGCGAGTCGAGAGTCGAGACCTTGGCTGGTTCTAAGATACTTGATTACCATCATTCCCGGAGTTCCTAATTTGTGCTTAAAATAAGTAACTTGCATGAGATTCGAAATCTCTAATTCTTGACTGGACAGATTGATTTATAAGTGTAAGCTAGTGGGATAATTACCGTATAATTACCGGTACATCTAACGATATCATATCTCTTTCTATCTTTGAAAATATCCCTGATATCCTTGTTTCTAAATATCTCTTGGTTATTCGAGTAAGATTACAGCTTGTATACTCGTAGATTATAATAACTTGTAGAATTCCAACATAAATCAACAATTCAACACCGCTATTCTTTTCTATAGAAATCAAAAAGCCTATATACTTTAAATCCTGATTAACTCTTCTAATAGCCCACTGGGCATAAGCGAATCCTATGGGAAAGGCCTTTATATATCTATTATCTGACTAATCAATTTGTATTTCCTATCTTCTGCATGCTAGATGTCACGATTTTTTAGTTGATACAGCAGACTCCTCAAGTATATATTATCTTCCCATAGCTCATGCTTCAATCTCAAAGCATTCCCTAGCTGTCAAATTTACTCATAGATGCCGATAACTAGTCTGCTATATCCTTTACGAAACTTGTAAGATTAAGATTACAAAAGCAATAGCCGAGAGTCATTGCAAATTGGGCTAAAAATGTTCTCTTTGATGTATTGCGCTCCATTTCTACTTGGTAAGAGCATTACTCGAGTATATGATATTTGTACATGGTACATATTATATAATCTCGCCAACTCTGTAGACTCCTCTTCTGAACTTACCATACCAAGAGCGGAATACACTTCGAATTTTAGATGAGTAGGTATTGGATCTCTATGCAAGCTCTATCTGCATGCGTTTGGAAGTCCTTGATTTTATACTCTCCGCTTTGCACGTTCCGGAGGGATGTAAGACGGTTTATTAGTATATACTATTCCTCAGCGATATCTATCTCTAAAGTATAAAATTGCGCGAACCGAAATTGCAGAGATAATTTACTACAGATAAAGGGTTTTTTGAAATAGAAGAAAGAGTAGAATTGTCCTAATTCTAAAATCGAGGCATAATTATTGTTAACGCTGATGTGGACAGGCACTGTCAAAGACAAGTTCAAATCACTCAGCTGGCCACTCCAAAAAGAAGAAAGAGGCAGATCTATCATCTCCTTGTGTGAAGAGAATACTAGTATTTTTGAATTTCAAGGTCATCGATTGATTCCATAAACGCCAGTTAGTAGTTGCCCACTTCATCGCTGCTAGTAGGTAGTATTACTCTAATCATCGAAGACGTGTGGGAAACCATGTTGGAAAGACACTGGCTAGTAAGGTTAAACGATAGTTCCGAATAAATAGTAAATACCATGTGAATTTGGAAGTAGAAAGTTATAGGTACTTGAGTTCTAATAATATTTGTGATTGATATATATATATGATAGGGTTAGTCTAGTATATTGTTCTATTCATTTATATTATATCTAGATTAGTAATTCAATCTAATCGAATCTACTCGAGTAGTATAATTTGGTACCTGTCTCCTCCTCACCCCACCGTGACCGTGATCGTGAACGTGACACTACCACCACCAATCACCATTGCCATCATGATCACCATCATCACCAATCAGTGCACAACTATAACTAACCCATCAACATCAACTCCAACACCAACTCCAACACCAGCATCAATATAAACATCAAACTCAAACATCAACTTCTTTTTCTCAGTCCCGGGCCACCACCTCCCCGTTCTCCCGAGTCTCTCCCTAGACCCAGACCCAGACCCTTAACCTCAATATTCTTTCCTATTCCATCGCCATCACCATCGCCATCACGACCATAATCACGATCCTCACCCTCCTCCCCAAAACCACCAACATGGCCCCCCTCCTCTCCCAGCCCTTCTCCCTCCCACCCCGGTAACCTCACCGCTCGATCCAGTGCCCTCGGTAACCCTCTATGCCTTCCTCTTACCATTACTGCCACTAGTACCATTTTACTATATTATTACCACTTATTAGCCATTACCCTCAAAATCCCATTCCACCCTCTCCCTCTCCCTCCCCTCTCCCAAAAAAGTAATCTTAAAAAAAAACTCACCTAACACCCCCCAACCCCCCACTAAAAGAATAACTCTGATCCGGCAACCCAACACTAATCCCCACACAACCATACGCAGAGACAACCTCAAAAATAACGTTAAACACACTGTAAGTAACGGGATCGCGCGAGAAATTCGACACTTCGATGCAGAGGATCAAGAAGGTGGCGAGGGTGAGCCACCAGAGATCGTGGGAGAGTTGGGTGCGGAGTTGGTGGTGGATGAATCTATTTTGGGGTTTAGTGGGAGTTCGTTCTTTGGGGAAGGGAGGGGGTGAGTGATGAGGGGGGTGATCGATGAGGAAATTGGATGGATGGATGGATGGATGGATGGATGGGTATAGTTGCTGTGTGATATAGGAGTTTGAGATGGTGGATTGGTCGGGAACTACAAGAGCTTGAAATATAGGAATCAAAAATACTTACTGTGTACCCGTCGTTTCATCCCTTCCATTTCCTTTTCCACCTCCATTTCCATTCCCATTCCCATTCCCACCCCCCTCAAAATCCACCATAGAATCCCTCCCCGAAAAGCTCCTCCTTATCCTCTTCGCCATCCTCCCCCCTAACCCAAACATCGACTCCTCCCTATCCTCCAGCAAATCATCCGCATAAATACCCAAACTCCTCTCTTCATACACATTCGAATGTCTCATCGTTATCACCACTGGATACACACTGATATACATCATAACCACATACAAGAACTGCAAACCAATTCTCAACGACGGGATACTAATGATATAAAAGCCACCGGATCGGACGGCTATGGCTTGGAATAGTCCATCGAGAACTCGGTAGCGAGGTTCGATGATTTGTGTGGCGGCGTTGCCGATGTTGAGTAGTTCAAAGGCGATCCAGTCGATGGAGTTGAGGGTTATGACCATGAAGAGTAACCACCATGTTGGTCGGGAGGGAAAGAGATTAGTGTAGACGCGTCGAGGGTAGCGGAGGATGAATTGGAGGGTGGGTTTGTGGTGTTGGAATGGGGAGAGAAAATTGGGAAAGGTATCGATGAGTTTTAGGAGGGTGTAGAGGATTAGACGGAGGAAAAGGGGGTAGGCTGTGTTACCGGCGAGGATAAGTAGACCCATTGTTAAAAGAGTATAGACTGAGGTTTGAAATGGTATCTTTTTCATATTAGTCTTCCTCTTCAAATTCACAGTTATGGGGGAAACTAAGGAAGGTAAAAAACATGAAAAAACTCACCATATTTAAATCCAACAAACTCATCCCCGAGTTATTAAACGCACTGATTGCATTAAACAATCCCAACCACCATGGATTAATTCCATTCTCAAGAGCCACATTAGCCTTATTATAAGCCATATAAGCACCAAGACCAATTCCCCCGAGTACTTGCCAAAGGATAAAATATAATGGGACTAACCATGCCAAGAATGATATAGCACGGTATTCAACACCACCCAGATGTTCTCTCTCGACACGTGAGAGACCATGAAATTGAGCGTTCCGACCAGTAGTGTTGGAGTTTAGGTAGGAGGGGTATTGAAGAGGAGCGAGATCTTGTTGACCGGTTTGTGAATAGTGGAGAGGATTATTGGTTTCGTGAAGTCGATGTTTGAGTGTGGTATTTTCCGAGGTGGTAAGGGGAAGTTGGAAAGTAGTTGATTGAGCTGGTGTGGTATTTCCATTCTTTGGACTTCCATTTGTGACGTCCTTTGCTTTTCCCTTTCCCTTTTCTGGGCCATTTACATTTGCGGGATATGCATCGGATGCAAAAGTAATATGATCTCCTGTATCCTTTGGTACACCATCATGAGGAGAAACTTCTGAAATAGCAGTCATACAATCATCATCATTCTTTTCGCCAACCGGTTGAGTTTTTGACCCCTCCTTCATCTCAAGAATATCTCCACTTCCATTCGAAGGAGACTTCCAAGTACCGCCCCCTACCAACTCATTCCCATTTTTATTGCTATTCCCATTCCCATTGCCAATTCCATTCTCATTCTCATTCCCACCCCCATTACCAATTCCATTCTCATTCTCATTCCCATCTCCCCATTTCCCCTCTACCACCAACCCCTCACCATCCACACTCTTACCCCCTCCTCCCGCCCTCCCCCTCCCCCTCCTCTTTTCCCTCTCCCTCTTCCCCCTCCCCACCACCTCCCCAAACCTCACCTCAAAAGCCCTCTTCCTCATCCTCACCGTCGCCACACTAACCCAAATCGCACTCCCCACCACAATCAACAACCACAACACCACCTGTTGAAACGTCGTCATCGTACTTAAATCCACCGTATTAAGACCCGCCTCCGTCATCGCCGACGTAACCATAAATAATGAATCGACATACGATATAGATTTTCCAGGATTGGAAAATCCCCAGAAAATTACACTGGTGATGAGGAGAGTGGTGATGAAATAGGCGTAGTGGATGGTTATGAAGTTGAGTGGAGGGAGAAGGGCAAGAATGGGCGAATTCGAGAGTAAGTGGGATATTCGATGGGTTCTTTTATTATCGGTGAAACTCTTAAGGGATTTAGGAGTTGTAGGTTTCTTATTCATTTCTTCACGAGAAGAATGGGCGTTGAAAAAACTTCCCCTCATACTCCTCGGAAAAGTTTTCTCCCTCTCTTCAAAATCACGAGATGGAAGGAGTGATTTGAGAGGTCTCGAAGTAATCGGTGAATGAATAGCGAAAAAAGAACCAGAACCAGAACCAAATGTTCTCCGTGCCGTTTGTGATGTATTCGTAACCTTATTCGTATGAGAATCTTTCGGTATAGCGAGTGTTTGATTTAAACTTTGTATATCATCAATTTCCACTTCCCTCGAATCTCTAGCCATAGCCATAGCCATAGCTTCTGTAGATGCTTTCCCCATCATATATCCTATATCCCACCAGATATCGACGATATCTTGCAATTGACCACGAACGTATTGTAAAGTAAGGAAGGTAACGTGAAGAAATGCAAAATCCAAATCTCAATTGTAAATATCCACACTGGCTGGCAACTGAGTACTAGCTTATCAAATCAAAAGAGAAATATAGAACTTTGTCCTTTTTCTAAACTCCTTATACACACTACGAGTAGAAATTAATAGTAAATAGTAAATGAAATATAGTATAAAGATAGAGTTGTTCCAATTGAACCCATTCCCATTTCTATAGATTTCTCTTCTCCAAAAAAAAAACCTTTTGACTCGATAGGGTTTTTAAAAAGAGATATATAAAAATTAAAATAACTATCGCTAGCTTAGTTATTTATAAAATTTTATACAATCTGATTTAATTAATAATCTAATATCAAAAAATCATTTTATAGATATTTTTAGAATATCTCAATTAATTATTTAAATACAATTAAATATATCAAAAATATTAATAAAAATACAATTTTTCAAAAAGTAAATTCGTTTAAATCACTATAAAAAGTAGATAGATTTACTCTTCGAAAATGATAATTTTTTATTAATATTTCCGATTTATTTAATTATATTTTAAATAACTAATCAAAATATTCTAAAAATATAATTATTATTCAAAGTTTTATTATAATATAAGATCTATTTTCAATAAAGATATAATTATTTCAAAATAATCTTTAAAATATTAATAAATATCAATATTCTATAAATCAAAATTATTATAACTTTCTAAAATTTTATTTAATAAAACTTAGATTTGTTGTATGAATTTCTTTTTAATTTATTATTTGTTATATAAAATTATATATATTTATATAAAGAATTGAGCTAGCAATAGTTTATTTTTATTTTTGCGTATTCCTCTTTTGGAACCCCGCCGAGTACTATATAATCAAATCAGATACAGACTACGAGTCGAGTATAGATAGTAAGTAAACTCTAGAAATGATTATAGTATTGTAATATAGTGTATTGCATTTGTATTGTATTCATATTGTATTTATATTGTATTATACCAAGTACCAAGTATCAAGTATCAAATATTAAATACTAATCTGAATCCTAAGATTTCTCACTCTCTCATCCTCCTCCCTTCTTCTCCCTTTCCCCCCCTTCTCCTTTCCTTTCTTCTCCTTTCCTTTCTCATATCCAATCACCAACCAGGGTATCTACCAATTCATTCCCAACCAATCCAATCCAATCCAAAATCCCATGAATATCAACCTCGGGCCTTCCACCCTTTCATCCTTTCAGCCTTCCAATTCACGTATTCTCCATCCCTTCATTTCCCCCTTCCTTCCTTCCCTAAATCCACATCATATTCACAATGATAGTAATGTAATTGACAAAGAAAATATGTAATGTAATGATGAATCTTTAAAAAACTCAATCAATTCAGCAATAAAACTCCAGCTGTCTAGCCAGGTGTACCGAGTTTGAAATCTCATCTGAAAACATCCAAATTACACAGAGCTAATCGGTAACCCATATCCCCTTCCTTGACAAATAAAATTATGTATGTTATGTAGTATGATTCCTTAAAACTCCTCGCATGATAGCATGATAGATAGAATGTATAGTGTACATGCCTTTAATATAATAGGCAAGGCAATTGTATATGTTGTGTATATTAATATTGAATGATGCATGGAGGTGGTATCAATTCGTCTTCGTTGTTTCGTCGAGGTGTTAAGATAGCTAGCATTGAATCGATGAATCCGCGACTCGATAACTTATTTCGTCCAGATGTATGATGGCTAGCATTGATCCGATGCCTCCGCGACTCGATGATTTATTTCGTCCAGATGTATAATGGCTAACATTGATCCGATGAATCCGCAACTCGATGACTTAATTCGTCTCGCTCGCCGGCATGGCATCATTTTGCTTTCGCCTTTCCCCTTCATGAAAGAAGAAGTCCTATCTCAAATCGAGATGTGTTTGTGTAAGAATGATTGTGTAAGAATAATTTCCAATTAATGAAAATAATTTCAAGGTCCATGTTGTGAAGGATCCCTTGGATGTTGATTTCGTCTTTCAGCTTCACCTCTAGCATCAACCCATTCCTGTGTGCCACTTTGTCTACCCGGTTGCTCAGCAGGTAATTTCTGATCTTCTTGTCGAGGAGGTGGAGGAGGTGGAGTTGCCATTTGTTGATGGGATGATCCATCTGGTCTCAAGTTCGAGACGACGGATTGCGCAATTGATGCTACCACGTAACCTCTCAATTCCTTATCTTCCCTCGCATCTTCCTTTTCCAATCGAAATCGTTCATCCTTATTCATATTTGATCTTCGAAGACCACGGATTTCGTTCTGAATATATAACATAACCTCTTCCGGACATTTGGTTCGTGCAAGAGCATGACCGGATTTTCGGACATATCTTCGAGTCACATCCGTCGCACCATCCATGGAGAACGCGATACAGTAAGACATCTTCTTACCCCATCCTTCTGCATATAACCTCGGATTATCCCAAGCTTCTTCGCATGCATCAACATGAATCCACCTCTTTTTCGTATCCGAATAGACTTCGGTCCATACATGATCTTCGACGTTCCAGACCCATCTTACACGACCTCCCACGGCGCGACACAACATACTGAAACAATTGGCCCATTCTCCCACTCGACCTTTTCTCGTTTGTAACAATTGCCACACATCACTATATCGAGGGAATCGTTCATATGCACCACAATCGCCTGCCGAACATTTGTATAATTCTACTTTGGTCGCTCCACATGCTGATTCATCGGGGGTTGGTGGTGTCATGCCTTGCGCAACGGTAGGTGACATGCATACTTGACATGGTGGATTATTGACCCATGAGAAGAATGAACGTTTAAACCATCTGAATAAATGTTAGATGCTACTATCAAGTCACCAATTGGCACACAAAGGGAACATAAACATACCTCAGTAAAGCGCGAATAACACAGTCCTGGTAACCCCATTCTGGCTTTCGTCCATCTCCCATACTTTCAGCTTCCGCTTGATATATTTGACTTTCCTCTTCTGCCTCTCCATAGATTCGATCCAATGGTAAATGTTGTAAAGCTTCATCCAGTAATCCCGGGTTTTCGTATTTTGTTGGTGTTTGTGAGATGGAGATTAATAAGTTTCGGAATTTCTGTGATTGTGCATCTGCGGGTGGTGTTGGAATCTTTGGTGTACTTCTTAATGAAGAATATGAAGGAGGCGTTGGAGGTTTGGATTGATGACTTGATGAAGTTGGACGAAAGTTTGAAGATTGTTGAGTATCTTGTTGTGAAGATGAAGTTTGTAGATTGGATGAAGATGATCGTTCTCTTGGTGATGGTGAAGGATTTCTTGATCTTGATTTATCCAATTCATTTAATCGTTTCGTCCTTAATAAACCTTCGAATTGTTGTCTTAAATCTTTCGCCCATGCTTCATCATGTTCCCCATTTGGTGGATTTGGGCCATTTCGATCAGCCATTTCGATATTGTTGTTGTTGTTTGTCGAAGATGTCGAGTTGTGTATGGAAGAAAGAGTATTGGTATCCGACCTCCTTCACTTCAACCTTCACAACCTCTCTCTCTCACTCTCTCTCACTCTCTCAGTCTCTCTCTCTCTTTGTGTAAATTATAGCTTATCCTAGAATTGATGAAAAAGAATCGTATAATATCGTCCAAAGTAGTATTAACAACAGTTGTCGAGTATTCCAAAAAGACTCTCTCTCTTCTCTCTCTGTATTGTCCCTCGAGCACGAGCACAGCCTTCCACGCACGCACTTTGATCGCAATCGCCACTTTTTTCGCTTATGAATAGGTATGATTTTAGGCTAGGTAGGGGATGATTCGTATCTGTAATTATAGATCTTATTTTATCTATTCTGCCTGTAAACAACTAACTTCAAATAGGAATTGAGGGTGGGTGATTATGAATAAATATCATCAAAGTTGTCGTGTTGTCTCGTCGTGTCTTTGTTTTTGTGTAGTCGAATGTAGTTGAGTTGAAAGAAGAATGGAGAAGAGTAAAGTATGTTAGTTATGTGATACTCGAGTAGATTGAATGGGATTCGTATCATAGAATGAATTGTTGTCTAATATGGATTAATTTTGTATGGGTGTATAGATAAGTAAGGTTTACTAGTTATTGGAGATCAAGAAGCTACAATTCATATTCATACTAACTAACAACATCTTCTGTATCCCTCATCCTCATCCTCGTGGCTTGCGTCGTAACTGTTCATATAATTTATCAAATCCATCGTGAATTTAGTAAACGAGTCGTATTAACTAACTAACTGTACGCTTGTACGCGTAATTCAAACCCCCCATCAATCAATAAACTCACTCATCAGAATTATAAATCAACCCCCCTCTCTTCTCTAGTCTCTGGATGGGTTTGAAGTTGTTTCTCGTTCTCGTCTCTTTTCTCAAGAAGCTGACGACGACTTCTACTAGAAAATATCCTTTCTGTTTGATGTGATTGGTTGAGAATGTAAATTGAGGAAAAATTGATTTGTTCAAGATGATGAAGAAGGATTCCGATACGTCTTGGCTGAATATGTATAAACTATATTGCGACGACGTGATTATTTAGTACGAGTAGATCTTTTGGTTAGTTTATGTGTTGTTGTGTTGTAGTACAGAAAACGATTCATAGATCCATCTTATCCAATTCAAGTTCATCTTGGTAATTATTGCAGTACAGTACAGTATGATATATTTTAGATATAATTACTTCTTTTCTTTTCCTATATCTAGATTACAGTTAAGTATATCTATATCTATTTGTGCCTGGACCTACCTAGTTACTTTATTAGACTTTAGAATTTAAAGTCTAATCAAAACATCAGATGAAATATATTAATAGGAGCAGCTTCTATTAAGGTTTATATTTATCAATATCAGTGCTCTAGATCTTTCACTTCCCTCTTCTCTTCCCCTGTACGAGTACTCGTATATCTCAACCTACTTTCTACGAGTAACTATGTAACTATCCTGGGGTAGCAAATGAAACCGATGTTAACCTTGATTCAATTACAACTCCCGGCACATAGCCTTATCCATCCAAAAAATATAAAACCCCCCCTTCTAAATCTTTCTAAACCTTTCAAACCAACCTTTCTCCCAACCATTCCATTCCAATCTTTCCAACTCAGTCTCAAAGTTCAAACAAATCAATCCAAACTCCCAATTCCCCAACCTCAATATCCATCCAATCCACGTGTTCCTACCAGTGTTCCAAAGAAAAGGTCGTCACCAAACAACGCAACGCAACGCAGATCACTACTACACATATCACATCACATCAGATCAGATCAGATCACATCCCAATCCAAGTTATGATATCGAACCGGTACATCAAATACCGATACCGATACTCGGCGGGGTTTTCGAACTTGAAGAGGGATTCGCAAAATAAAAAACTTGAATACTAGTAGCTATCGCGAACTTGGTTTCTTATATAATCTTATAAAAAAAAAACTTTATTGATTAAGTAATTTTAAACTTGAAGATTATATTTTCTTTTATTTTAATCTAATATGATTTGAGTTATATAGACGGATCTCTAAAAAAAAAACTTATACACTAATCGAATTTATCTCTTCAAAATTTAAGATTTTCTAATATTATTTAATAATATTTATAAAAATAATAGGACTTTTAAAAAAACAAAAACATTAAATAAAAATCTAAAATTAATTTTAGAATAATCTAAAAATCTTTATATAAAATTTCAATATATTAAATTATAAATTAAATTATTTCAATTAAAAAAAATAAAAAGACTAAAATTTCAATCTCTTTTATTTAAATTTATTATTATTAGTTTAAAACAAATTATATTAGAATAAAATGAAATCTATAAATTTAGATTTAATTAATCACTAGCAATAATAAATAGAAGTTTTATATAATTATATAAGAAATTTAAGCTAGTAATAGCTATTTTGATTTGATATATTCTTCTTTAAAAGATTTGCCTGAGTATTAAATTATAGATAATATTCAAGAATATGTTTATAAGTAATCTTTATAATAATCAAATCAATAAGCCTCTATGATCTAATAGTAGCCTGAGAAAACGAGCTTTCACTCCGACCCTATACTAGTAGTGCCTTCAGAGTCAGGGCACCAACCTCAACCTCAGGGCCTACATCATCACAACTCATATACATATACATATTTCAAAAACACTAACTCGAGTACTAGTACTCGAATACATCTCAGTCAACAAATTCAAATCATCCCTACTAGTACTCGTAGTATTTCCCTCCCTAATAGCATTCAAGTTAAAGCAGAAAATTTCACACTGGCATGCTTACTCTATATTGAATTTAAGTTATCGGTATATTATATCTGTTGTTATAAAGTAATTGGTAGGTAGATAGATAGGGCATGGTATGGTGTGGTATGGTATGGTATACTTGTAGACGGGATGAATGTTGATAGTAATACTCGTATTTTGAGATGAAAGAAGAGAGAAGGTGGAAGGAAGGTGGAAGAGAGAATGAGTTCAATTTGATAAGTAAATAAGTAAATAACTAATTTCACTGATACCTCGCATCGAAATCAAATCATAGAATCATAAATCAGAATCAGAATCAGAATCAGAACCATAATAACCCCCTTTCCTGGCCCCTGGAAAAGAAAATACTAACAAACAGACCTCAAACCCTAAATAATTCCATTGATACCTGGTGTCGTGAATCATAAGTCATAAGTCATAAATCAAAATCAAACCCATAACAATTATTTGAACCCCCCTTTCGATCGAGGCCCAAAAAAGCAAACACCAACAAACAAACCTTAAATCCTCTTCAACACAAACTGCGACTGACAAGTATCCTTCAACCCCACCTCCACAACCTCAATCCAACTAGTCGACTTCTCATCATCATCACCCCTATTATTGACCAAGGCCGTCCAAACCGATTTGAACGATTCACCAGCCTTGAGAACTAGATATTCCAAACTACTCGATGTATCTTTTGGGGGCCCCGCTGCTTGGAGATCGTATTGGTAGTATATGGATTCAGTTCCTAGTTTTGAGGGTTGCGGTAACTGTGCTGCTGTGATTGTGCTGGATGTGACATAGGTGTGTCCGTTGTCATCTTTATCGGTGTCGGTATCGAGAGCTAATGCGATTTCTGGGGTGCCATCGGCGCCGTTCCGAAAGAGACAGACGTTGTCGTCGCCGGAGTAGAGAGTGATGGTTGTGTGTGATAGAGTTACATCACTGGAGGATTGGTTCTTGCCGGTGACGGTGATGCTTGTTACGTCACCTGCGGTGGCTTCATAAGCAGAAACCGAGTAAGTAAGTTGGGACGGAGGAGCAACGTCAAAGGTGGAGATTAGGCCATGTGCCACATTTTTGATGAATTCGGCAATCGGATCGGGGGGTGCTTGGGTTTTGACAAAGAAGTTGATGAAGACCTGGACGATCATGAGAATTACTCCTGCAACCGCCAAAACCGCCCCCAAAATTGGTAAAGCAACACTCAAGGTGCCAGTGACGGCCCACAGGCCAACTTCGACACCCACATCGAGGACGTCGAGCAAAACAGTCAAGCCTTGGACAATGACGTTGAGTACCCCTAGAACCCTTCCAGTATCAGAGAGAGACCTCCAATCATTCGCCAACGAAAAGGACATGGCAATGACCAAGCCAATTCCAAGAATGGCATTGAGCGTGCGCAGCATGTTTCCAGAAATATTAAACTTCGAGGCTACGTCTTCGTAGCCCGGCGGAACGTCGTGCGCAATGTCTGCAAGGTCTTCATTCCAAGTTTCGTCCGAGTCCGTGGCGACCCCATCGCTATGAATCCCCTCTGCAATTGCCGTACGATAATCTTCATCGCCGGTAATCTCTTGAGCTATATCTCCCATCTTATCACTACTCTCCGAAATCTCATCTGCGAGGCCATCGTTCAGAGCCTCCATGTTGAGCTCGTCTGCGGGCGTAGATGCTGCCTTCGATTTGAAGTCTTTAAAGGCATCAATTGCCTTATCGACACCGCCAACTACCGTTCGAACCACTTCAAGTATGATAACTGCTCGTTTAGCATCCGACAAGGTGTCCCAGTTGCTCACTAAGCCCCAAATACTCACGGCAGCATTGGCCAAGCTGACCCCAACCTGTACATCATTTACATATTAGCTTAGATTTGGTCTGCGCGACAGAAGATGGGACAAGGACTAACCATGCAGATACTTGAAATTCCCTTCAACTTGCCCACTCCAGGAAGAGATGTGAACTTCTCGGCGGCTTGATCGAAAGCTTGGCCAACCCATTTCCAAAGTGCAGTACCTCCAAATGCAGTTTGTAGCCCCTTTCCAATGTATGAAAACCATCCCGCCAATTCCTGCATAAATAAGGCGCTTTTCTCGACTATTGCAGCTGCTCTTGTCTTGTAGTCGGCCTGCTGATTCAAGTCGTTTTGTTTCTCGAATTCGTAAATATCTTCCACCAACGCCTGCTTCACATCACTGGAGATGGAAGGGTCATCGCTTAGAACTAGCACAATGAGATCTTGCATAGAATCATGGAGCCAGTTGTATTTCGTGTCCTGGTCAGGTGGTTCGATATCTGCAGCCGTCGCGCCTTGTTGCAATGCAAAAGTCATGAAAGTCTGGAAGAATTTCTGAGACCAATCTGAGGTTGCAGATGGACTCAAAGCATCTAGAACATTGCACATCTTGTTGACTACGTTGTTACCCTGAGATAAGAGTTTAGCAGCTCGAGATTTAACCATATATCAGATTTTACGAATAAGGTGAAGAGATACTTACGTCCTGTATTGGAAAGTGAACCCAGGTGTTTAACAGCCGCTTATTGTTCGTGATCTCTTCATAAAGATTTTGTGCCCAGTCATCGGGATTGTCCTGCAGATATGGCTGCAATTCATCTTTGTATCCTCGTTCCATTGCCGCTCGCGAACTAAGGCGGTTGATATCATTGTATTCTTCACTTTGCGATAAACTGTTCGTGCCGTTACCCTGCCACCAGTACCAGAGATTCTTCATCTCTTGATCTGTGAAAGAACTCATGTATTTCTGCGTCCGACCAACATAGCGACTGATAAAAGCTGGGCCATACTTGTCTTTGAAAAATGTCTTCAGTTTATCAGGCAGATTGTCCGCTAACTCCGACGGGAGTTCGTCTGGAACGCTTGGTTTTACTTCATTTAGTATCTTGTCTCGTTGGTCCTCATCCATATGATAATACATCATATTATGAATCAATAGTTGAGAGTCATTGTGCAACTAAGTTTAAGTTGGTTTGTGTTTGCCTTCTGTCCAATTGAGGAGCAATATCGGAACAACTTACTGATCTTTCGTCATAGGTGCTAAATCTCACAAGATCTGCGATACTTCCATCGCTAAGAGCTAACAGACCCTCAGTTACAGTGGCCGGTTGAAGCATCTTATTAGATTGGGGAGCTTCTCCTGGCTTCGAGACTGACCCATACGCACGAGAGATTTTCGAGCGATAGGCAGCAACTGTGTCCGGTTCTATGGGAGTTCCTTGAATTAGATGACTGGTTTCTGTGTTAGCCTGGTGTTGATTTGATTTCTTCTCAATTACTGTGAAGCTTACCGGTCGCCCTTATATCCTCGCTTTGTAGGATCGTATTCGTAAAAGTAGCCTGTGAAACTCGAGTACATAGCATCCATTGTAAAAGTCATCTGCTGGAACAGTGATGGCAGAGTAATGTCAATATCCAGGTCTGATTTGAAGCTAACCCCAAATGTTTTCTTCATGTCAAGACCAGCATCAGAGATAAAAGGAACAAGAGGCGCACGCTTGAATTGCACCGAATATATCTGCTCGCCATCTTTAAACTGCGACGTGGCATCGTAGAAGCTGCCAAGCTTTTGACCAAACTTTTGGTTAAGCTGATCACGCAGCTGATCTACCAAAAGAAGCTTTATCGAGGGGACATCCACTTGACTGTCACTGGCATAGTAGCCATCTTCAAAGGTTCCCCCATCTAGGGGGTCCTCTGGCTCCGTTCGCTCAGTATCGGGAGGCCAAACACTTTGATCCAATGTAACTTGCCATTGACCAAACGCCGTCCAGTCATCATCCCCACCTGAACGTATATTCATGTCTGCCAATTGATCAAGATTGCATGCTTTGGCCTCAAATGGATGGACCTCATCTCGTGGAGGAACTTCCTGGGACTCTGCTTCGGATGATAAATAGATAACTCCTTTTCCTGACACGGCTCGAGAGCAAATCTCAACAATGCCATGTTCGAAAAGGTTGTTTTGCTTCAGCTCCCTCGTCCATCGCAAGTGTCTCTTTTGTGGATCGTATGTGCTTCGAAGCTGCACTTCTCCCTGTATTAGAAGGTAACCATCAATTAGACTCAAAGATGGAAGCTTATATCCCGGTGGTAGTCGACCAAGATGATGAGCTTGAAGGCGGAATCCTCTCGCGAGACGATCAATAGGAACACCTTTGGAAGCTGTTAAAGTCTTGGCGGTTTTAAGGTGTTTTGTAAGGTTGAGAGGATTTGCCGATTTCCCAAAAGAGGGTTCCTGTCCATCTGGAGATTTGTATTGGCCAAAAAGTTCCCAGTTCAGCCGTTGATAAATAGCTCGGGCGTCAAATTTTCCAAACATGGACCGCAATTCCTGGAAATGAGACAAAAGACCTAGTCTCTTATCTCCGGGGACTTTGCGAAGCATCTCGACAGTCTCTTTCAATGTGTGACGTGCGGCGTTCATGTCAACCAAATACCCGCCAGCGTGGTAGGTCTGGGAATTTCCAGACAATGAAAGAGTGAACGCGCCTTCCAATAGACATTGTTTGATAAGCTGAATTGATTTGATCTCAACAGCTACGTATTCATTTGCCTGCAGACGAAACAAAACGTGTCCGATAGCGAGCTTGCCAATGCGACGATATGGATTCAAGCGCTGTGCTGCTTCTGGATCAGCTGCGCGTAGCCCTGTCGTTGTCCAAAATACCTGTGAACTCATAGCCCAGGGCTTCTCCTCGTCTAAAATTTGTCATGTCAGTGTGACTTTTCTGACTGTTCTCGAGTTTAAATGGGTTCTCACTAAAGCCAACTAAATCTGCCTTCAGTGATTGCCGAATAGGCCTACGAAAAGCCGAGACAGATGAGTTGGAGTTTTTGGAAATTAGGATTTTGTCTCCTAAACATATGGTTTCAATTGATCGTGAGGCTCCATTGGAAAGTGCAATTTGAGTTCCAGGTAAGACAATGTTCTCTAGAGACTGGTTGAATGTCGATAGCCCGGATAGGCCGTCCGACGGGTCGCGGGTGACAGGAAGATAATTATCTCCCCATCTATAGTCTTGTTGTTGGAAGTTGTATGCTATAGTTGAAAGTCAGGAGACGAAATGATCGTGTCTCGTAATTTGCAGAAGTAGCAAGCTGAACAGAATTTCCAGAGGAAATACAACTTACCAGCGGAACCCCATGCCTTGATCCTTTCCACCTCTCCTGCTTTATACGCTCTAGTCATTCCATCGTGCCAGAGTTGAAGGATTTCAACTTCCCAAGCGCTTGTCAGGGCCATGCAATAGGACTTCCACTGATTGACTATTTCCTGTTGATTTTGCAGTTGGCTCAGACTATCTTGCAGTTCCTTGTTGTAATCGTCATCGTCAATATTACCGACGCCCATGTCGTAGAACGCCTTTGTGACATCCCAGGTGGGCGCAGGTTGCTGTAAATTGGTGGTAGTATTAGGTGGACAAAGTCCAATTGTGGCGGTCCGACCACAGAACTTGACGATATTCTTCATTTCTGTTGGATTCCCTTTGCCGTATTCTCCCCACAGAGTGTAGGACCATTGGTGTAGGATTTTAGAACTTGCCCTTTGTCGAAAGTCGATGACTGAAGCAGCGGGTGTGTTGCGATATACGTGGTCCCTGTCCTGCATATAGTCTGCAATCATAAGCCACGCGATGCTAAAAAGATGATCGCCCCTGGCCATGTCGGTCCGTATCTCATTCAAAATGAAGCTTCTTGTGGTCACTAAGTCACTGCAAGATTTCGCAAAACCATCATAATTCCTGAGGTATTCCATGTTAGGTTTCTTTAAAGAGTCGAGCTCTCTATTTATATGTTCTCCAAGACAAAATCCCATGAGATTTGTAATACATTCAAGGCAGCGAACTTTACTATTGTCCTATCTCGTAATGTTAGCATAAAGCTTAGTAGTTGTCCACTTTCTCTAGAAGTTTGGATCAATCTGATAGTGCTTTAAAACTACTTACATTGCTCACGAATTGCTTCAAGTCAAAAATATCAACATTGTCATCAACATGAGCGAGTCCGCTAGCGATTGAGGGAATCGAAAGCTTGTATAGTAAATCATAGATCCAGAATATATCGATTACATTATCATCAGGGTCGGGCTCATCAGCGGGGTAACGAGAAGCACTTGGAATATACTTTCTGATAACTGAGTGCTGATTAACAAGAGCAGTTCGAACCTTGTTATGCAGCCGATTGGCATAATCATCGTAGGGCAAAGACTTGACAGCTTTGATACCTGTGACGGCCTCCTCAAAGATTTTTTGGAGATCGTCTGACATTGTGATCTGTTGAGGAGGATGTCGATGGTAATTTATTGAGTAGAAAGTATAGGATGATGTATCGAGTAGGATATTGATGGTAATGTATTGAGTAGAAGGTATATAGTGATGGGTTGAGTAAGAAATTGATGGTAATGTATTGAGTAGAATGTGATGATTTTTTGGTTGGATTGACTGTAGAGAAGGATGATGGAGAGTTATTGTAGTGGAGAACTTGTTCCTCGACTCTTCAATATCTTTCGTTTATCGGCAACGTAACCAATTTCTGGAAGGAGGCTGGCTGAGAGTTGCACACAACATAGGGATATTGACGAATCTTGGTCTACTAGGTGATACTTTAAGTTGCACCAAAAATGATCAAGAATAAAGGCTTGATGCATCAAGGTAGACAAATGATGCATATACGAACTTTTGCGCACTGCGCATAATCTGTTGAGTTCATATGCATTCTACTTTCACTTGTGAAGTTGGTAGTACTTTTTATAGGAAATGCATGCTCGCTGAATCAATAGCTTTGAAAACTTCGAATTCACATGTACCTAGTGTATATTCTAATTGCCATTCATATTCGCTAATGGTTTTGGTTCTACCAAAATCTGCTAGAATTTGGACCAATGGAGATATCGCGGGCCAGCCAGCGATTATACCGACAGCCAAGTTATCAGCTAGACAGGATCATGATGATGGAGGTGGATAAGGGGCCGAGTGTTCAATTATCCGGGCCTTGTACAGTAGCACACTGGAGATCCCGAGCCAATTACAAGCAAGCTTGGCGATATATGAATATCTCGACCGCGCATTTCTTCGGGAGCTCATCAGTGACCCCTCAATGCCAACTTTCTTATCTTCATACATACACATTGCAGACCATGTTGTAGACTTCGCAAACCAAACTTGGTGGACCATATTGCGGGGTCAACCCAAGGACACCAATCAGCGTCGGCTAGTGACATTCCATCATTAGCATATGAAATAATGCCCCTCTCTCTCAGCCAGCCATCAAATAGTTTTACGCGTCACGAATGAAAGCTAATTGGCGACCACTGGTAACACGCGGAAGATGAGAATATGTTACGCAGCACATCGACGCCCAAGACCGATGCAGACGGCTCACTGGGTGATTGTGGGACAGAAGGCGCTTCCAAAGGGTGACTCCGACTACTAGGAGAATGCAAAGATCCAAGGAGATATGTGCGTAGAGTGAAATTTCGGAGATGTATGTGAAAGGATGAGAGGAGTCGAGGAATGGCAGAATGGGTAGATGGTGGGTGGTACGGTGGTATAGAATTTGAGATGCGAACTCGTAGATTGATTAGTACTAAAAGCAGTAGAAAACAATGATAGTACTATGATACAAGAGTATGATCGTGACAGTTGACATATGAATCAACGCTAAGATGAGAAAGTCGAAAATACATCAAAAATCTCCCAAAAGTAAGGTACATGACCAGTACCATGACTGTACGAATAGCGTGAATATGCATTTTCGCGGTTTTTGTCAATGCTAGGAAACTTCTCAACATGACCATGACTGCTGTCGTCATTTTAGTATGACTTCATTTCAGAACGTCAGTACAGAATCATTATAAAAAAACGCAGTATCATTCCCTCATTCGGTTCACTTATTGAGAACGGATCGAACAGGTTCAAATCCTAGAGTTTGTTTCAAAACCAGACAACTTTAGCCAATAATTGAAAGTCAAAAGTTCACATTCAAGTGACTTTATATTGATATTAACGAAACGCTTGAAGCCTTGCTTCGGACGAAATCCGACATAAGGGTGATTATCCAATCGTTTGACGTTCACGGAGTAAGAATCTGTAAGATGAAAGTAAGATGAAGTTCACAAGTTGTAATATTCCCTTTTTCCATTCGAGTATTTGATAGCGTTTCCGATTCGTTGTGTCGATTACAGTAAAGTACCGGTATATACTTATTACTTCGTGGCTGAACATCGAGAGAGGATATATCTAGATATCAGAAAAACATGTGTTACTAAACTGAAGGGAAGGAGGGGAAGGAGGTCAGACACGTAAATGCTTACCTAAGTCCGAGTAGAATGGGGCTTAACTTCATTCAGGCTTGCTCAAAGCTCGATCATCTCTCCACACCACAACAAAAAGCAACCAAACAATATCCAACATCCAGCATTCAGTCTCTTTCTTTCGGACTATTTCCAAAAACAATGGCAGACAACTCTCTTATCAGGCAGACTCAGCTGCTCTTCGGACGTATCTCCTAAGAATGAAAATACTCCATAATAGGACAACTTCATCAAAGCTTTGGATGAAGCCCTCAAATACCTCCACCATGTTAAAGATAATAACGATTATCAAGAAACTTAAATCGCTTCACAAGGAATTTTTACTATATCTGAACCCTATTCTCATGATGTAAATAATCATAGAGGTGAAATTGCTACAAAGAAACTGTGTATCTCACTGACAGACAGAATACTAATTCGGAAGACCAACCAACAGCCGCAAAGCTTCGATAAAGATCCCAAGATTGCCCTGGAAACATATTTTGAAGTCTTCGAACCTCAAAGGAGGCTTTCTTCTGGGGGGATGATCAAGAATGAACAGCTTGTGCCCATTTCCATTGATGACAGTACATCTCGTCTGAAAACATCAAAAAATAACATTGTAAGAAAACGACATTGTAAAGTTCAGAACATCTATACTCCCAAATCTGAACTACAGATAGATCTATGAATATCGTAGTGATAGAACTCTACTATCCCAAATCATATACACGAACAAGACTCCACCTCCACCTCGAATCAAAGGTCATCATCCACTATAGCAAGTATTCCATTTCTTAGGCATAGCTCCGAGCATAGTAAGGAAATGAATGACCTTCTTCCTCGGCATCTATCGAAATCTAAATCTACATGTAACCTTAGAGGATGCCAGTGGAGAAAGCCAATGGACAGACAAAACGTGTATACCAGTAGTGAACTTATGTGGATATCATGAATGAGACTCCAAAATATGGATGTAACTGTAAATGAATTCTCATAATATGTTTTCATAACAACCAACTACATAATGTTGTTGTGTGGTGAAGTTCGAGAAAGTCCTAGGGAAGAAACAAGTCCAAGAGATACAACCCCGGTCGGCAAAATTCCAGTGAGGCTGAAGCCTTAACCACATCCCTTCGATTCACTGAAAGCTTTCCCCCAATACAACATTCACACCACAACAACAACAACAACAACAACAACAACAAATTCATAAATCATGGCTCCAATACGTAGATATCTACGTATTAGTAAATACTCTGTACTTGAATGTCGCATCTACGTTGATAATCCAGCTTTGGCAGAAAGTTGGTTGTTAAATTCAAGGAATCCAATCTTGCCCCGTGTCATCGAGAAGGTTCGTCCACTGGTTCTGCCAAAGCTGCGCGAAGAGCAGGAAAGGAGTAAGTCAAAGGGGAAGAAGAAGGGCGTGAAGGATGTTGTCAGTGACGGTAGGTGGAAAGATTGAAGGTGCTTTCAATATCGTAGCAGCAGCCATTAATGATCATTGGCAGAGGACTTCGAGGTATCCATTTTCCTGACGGAAACTAGTACGCGACATTCTATCCTTTTCAAACAAAAAAACTTTCGAGATAAAAGCAAGAAAGACCTACAATCGAATTCCGACAAACTTACTGGTGATACAAACGATGCGCCAATTGAAGTAGCTGATGGCCCAGCTATCGTGAGAGAAGAAAGTGAAGAGTCAATCTCTCTACAAAACCTCCCCGAAGCAGGAGACGACTCCGACTTGTTTATTAGTGAAGATGAAGGGCCTCGCGGATCAAAACGTTCAAGAAATGGTCGGGAATCCATAGACTCTGATGTTGGACCTCTAGCGAAACGTCAAAAAGATGGGGAAATTTTAGAGGATGAGGATGACAAGAAGAAAATGGCAATGGATACCTCGTACGATGGCTTTACAGTCAATGGTCGCGTACTATGTCTGGTAGTCAAGAGGAAGGACAAGAAGGGCAAAGCTCCGGTCGCAATTGGAGGTCACGCAATGTTGGAGGACTGGATCACTTCTACGCAGATGCCACCAGAGCTAGAAGATGCTTAGGGCCTCGAATCTATGTTTCTCGCATGCGATATACATTTGGAGTAGCTTCGTGTTTCTGCTCGTCAGATCGAATTCCGGACATGCAACTCCTCAGTTCATACGAAAGTACTAGAAAGTACTCTCCGGAGTATACTAGTACCGAACTCTGTGCACGACCTTAGCAAGAGCCTATTTTCAGAACGGATGTTCAATTACTCGAATTAACTTTCCACTTCGGATAGTTCACCTGCTAATATCTACATCTAAGAGCACAGAAAGTCAAATTGTTCATCTGTCACATTCGGACAATTTCTCAAGCAGATTTAGTCCGATAAGTCAAAGTTAGCAAGCGTAACTAAGAGAATTTGGCTCCGAGTATCACAAAAGCCTAGAATTGGGGTTTCCTGCCTGAAGCTATGCTTTGATTTCAATTCTTTGATATAGGCATAGTGTAGTCGCACCGCGAAATATTGATCACGGCATTCTTAAAGTTCAGCCTAAGTTTGGGTTACAAAGTCAAACTTGTGAGGCCGTTCTAGACCTCTGTCTTCCCCCAAGACCTGCTAGAATCGGGATGGTACTGTCTTGACAGCCACAGTTCCATTTTGTACTACATCAAGCTCAAACTTATCTTGTGGCTTGACAGCGACTATCAGCTCTTTTGCGTGTTGGAACGAAGGAAGTCTAGGTACGAAAAGTTGATTGAGGCATAGAAGAGCATCGGCGTCAACCAATCCATGTCGATGTCGATTTACGAGAGCCAATCCCAATTGTACTTCCTCAGCCAAGTGTATCAGCTAAAACTAGCTACTGAGCAAGAGCTGATAGCTACAACCATCCATATGCCCGAACGCAAAGTCATTGCTATAGAATTACCCTTTTGATTTACTATTTTGGTTTTCACCCCTACTACCGGTATCCTTCGATAAACCTGCTGCAAGTCGGTAGCTACTTTATACTTTCTTTCATACATGAGTCTCAGGGGCTATGTTGACTTATTTGGGGGAAATCCTCAAATAGAGTTCTCGCTATGTCTGAGTCTATCCAATTCGGTCCAAGCCTCATGTCCACTGCCGCCCTCCCGTCTTCCCCACAAACAATAGTCCACTGGAGCATTCGCAAATGAAAGAATGATACGAATTCCCGGGATAAAATTCCATCTGGAGTACAGTGTACACAATGCGAGAGTGTAGGCTAGTTGAGAATGAATGTTACAATGGTCTGGAGCTTGGTGCGCCAGTAACGCCACTCATGCGAAAGAGACGGTCTGTTTCGTACATGTTCTACATGCCGTACAGGGAACTCTTTTTTAATTCGGAGAGGGGAATAAAGATCTTGTTTCTTTAAAGTTTTCGAGATATCATACTTTCCTAAAAGATCATGGCGTTTGAAGTATTGAAAAGTATAGTCAAATAAGTTCCCTGGCATTCATCGGACGTATTGCTCCTTTTGTATCGCCAAAAAGACGTTTCGCTTTCCGTTAGCGATAATCGATGATCATTGACTATCTTCCCGAGTTTTTTAAGGCCTGTTTTTAACCTACGCTAATGATGGTGAAACGTACCAAGGACTCTTGGATGATCGTTGGAAAGATGAGTGGATGTAATATTCCCAGTGTAGTGGGTTATGGGACTGAGAAAGGTCGGCGTTACATGTGAGAATGGCCTTGTATTGATCGACAGTGTCATCATAAACCTCGGCTATTTCTTCTACATTTGTTATTCTATTCCATCGGCTAGTATTCAAATACAAAGTTGCCACGGAGATTTCCCCGCACCATGCACGTCCATATTTCCATGGGGAATTGCCTATATGCATGCTTGGACTTTGTCAATTTCGATAATGCAAATTGTTCCTGTAGCTATAGCTCTGATTATTCTTGGATAGGCGCTCCTCGGACTTTTAACGTCGTCACAGACAGCGGGATATATGCAGGTGGAGATTGATGTTTTTGTAAATCGTGTAGATAGGGAAATCTCTACTGGTTCTCTAGAAAGCTTATCATTGATCGACAATAGGGAAGTTGTACGATTCCTTAGCATCAATCTGAATTCTCCAATGATTTACGATTTACTTTTATTGTTGGTATGGCCGTGCGCGCTAGATCTAGATGCATCTCATTCGTATTGATGGATATTGATTGGTTATGAAGCTCTAGGAGTCTACCGGTAGTAGGATGAGACGGACGGTTCACAAGCGCCAGGCCAGGCCAGGCCGAAAATAAATGATTACTTATCATATGCGTCATCGATGGTGCTGGCGCTGGCCGAGTCTTCTATTATTATTTTTATTTTTGGAGAAAGAAGAGAAATAAAGAGATTAAAGATTTGTATTTGTATTTATATATAGAGTCAGTGTATGGAAATCTGTGACTTGCTTCATGGGGCAATATATTATTATAGAAAAACAATAGTTCGGTTCTGAATATATGAATGTATGGTATGGTATATGGAAGATAATATGTATTGTATTATATTCGCATATAATACAGGCACTCTGTGACCACTGATTAGTTACCATAACTAACTCTATTATATTCTACACCGCCTGTCATCACAAAGACGACTGACTGACCGCCTAGAGTATAGTATGTAGCATCATATGCATAATGCATAATGCATAATGCTTCTGTCTCAGCCTTGTCTTGTCTTGTTCTTGTCAATAAGGGATTGTAATTCGAGATTCGAGCTTCTCATCTGAATTTTGAGCTTTTCATCTAAGCTTTGAGTTTCCTCTCTACTCGAGTAAAAATATTAGTATTAGTATTAGTAATCGATATCGGGATCGGGATCGGGATCTAGAAGTAATTAGTAAAACAACTTCTTTTGGAAGTAATGTCTGATGTCGAATGTCGAATTTGGGTATGCAGTATGTATGTTTGTTTGTTTGTTTGTTTGTTTGTTTATTTGTTTTGGGATTGATGGATGGGTTGGTTGGGTGTGATGAGGAGGATGGATGGATAGAAATTTGAGAGGATGTCGGTGTCGGTGTCGGTGTCTATGTCTTTGTTTATGTTTATGTCTATGTCTATATCTATATCGGTGGGCTAGATCTAGATTCTAGATTCTAGATTTATGGGAAATAAAATGGGGTTGAAATGATTTCGGGTGGATTTTGAGGGTGAGGATGTGACTCATGTGAGGGTGTTGTTGTGGATTTTGGATTTGGAGTAGGTATATTGGGTTTTGAATTTTGAATTTAAAACTGTATGTGTATAAGCTGGTGATGGGTGGTAGAGTGTATGATGATGTAGCATTGTAGCAGGCTGTGGTACTGGGTATTGGGTATTAGGTATGTGGGATGAAAGTTTTGGTTTGGAGTCTGGGTTTGTGTAGGATATGAAAGAGGGGGAAGGAGAGGTTAATATTGGATATTGGATATTGGATATTGGAAACTTATGATGGCTGGTGAGTAGTAGTGTATTTATTGAGAGGATAGATAAAAGAGAGATGTATAGTGAGGTTTTGGGATGGATGGATGGATATAGAGCGACTGTGGATGTAGGGTGTCTGTGGATGTGAATGATATTGGAGGTTTGGTTCGGATTCTACTCGAGTACTACTTGGGCTAAGGAACTTTGGGTTTTGGGGTTTGGGGATTGGGGTGGAGGTGTTGATTGTAAATTTGTAATTGGGGGTATGTATATGGTGGGTTTGTATGTGTATATGGAAAGGGATATGGAGAGGGATATGAAGAATAAGGGAGGGTATTGATGATATACATACGAGGAGTGGAGGACTATATGCATACTGCTGTATATATAATAAGAGCAACAGAAATGATATAAAACGAAATAAATAGATAGGATACTTATCTACTTCATCACCTTCTCGTAATTATAATCATAGCCATACAGTAGCTATAGAGAGTCATAAGCCGTACCTAGACCCTATATCCAATTCTTTACTATACGATTACTTTACATAGACTTTCTTCGGTCTGCTAAGCTTTTATTATAA